AGTCCCTGTTACCCGCTCTCATTATTATTCTAACTATTCTTTTTTGAATTATGAAAATTTGGTCACTATTAGTTGAATTACCCCAGAATATTATACCATATGACATGATAGAATGGGCATAGGCATAATAAGTCATCAATAGGCTTTCTAGGGACATAACTGAAGTTAGGATTCTGATGGCATAGCTAGCCGAGCTTAATTTGCTGGCTGTATATTTGATGTGTTCTTTCCATGATAAAGTACTGTCAATTGTTATTCCAAGAAATTTCAGTGTACTCGTGTTATTAATTTGGATATCCCCATGGTTTATATTGATATCTATTGGTAAATTAGGTTTTGATGAAAACTGGACACAATTTGTTTTTGTCAGATTCAAAGTTAACGAATTAATAGAAAACCATACATTAATTAATTCAAGAATTTCTTTTAAAGTAATAACAAGTTCATTGTAGTTCGACTTGCAACACAATATGCTGGTATCATCCGCAAATAAAACTGGCTTTGACACTTTATTTATTATATATGGTAAATCATTAATATATACTAAAAAGAGCAATGGCCCCAGGATAGAACCCTGAGGGACACCCTGTTTAACCTTTTGCCATTTAGAAACACCACTTTCAGTGTTATTATTCAATATTGTTCTTTGCTGCCTATCAGTCAATCAGTCGCTCTGTATCTACCTTCTCTTGTTGAGTCTTCGTTTAATAAATTTTCCTGCTGCATCGAAGCGTGGCAGCGTAGTTTCATTTTCAGATCGTCTATCGGGAGGTTCTTTTTACCAGGAATTAAGATCTTAGCCATGATATTAGCATGGATCTTTATATACGCGTGACTTTTCGGCTTTCTATTGCTGATTGCAATTCTCAAGAGGTGGCTTTCACGCTTTCTATTGTTCACAGGTTGTCGCACCACAATGATTCCTAAGGGCAGGTGTTATTTTATGGTTGAACAGCTTAATTTCCATTCCCACTGCGATATTCGGTATGGAAAACACTATAACTAACTATATTTAGTACGATGTGGCCAAATGTGCCTGCCACTTATAAAAACGAACAAAACGCTCGCATGAACATATTTGAAACGCTGTTTGTGGGACACCGATATACTACAGAACTAAACTGGCAACAATGGTACAAATTGTCTTCCTACGCGAGAAGACATTTCCGCAGAATTTTATTATAATAGTCAGTATTTATTACGCAACAATTTAACTCTTGCTTATCATTCTTATTCGAGTGATCGATACTATTTGACATTGTCAGTCGGGAACGGTTAGGAAGGTTAGGAACGCTAATTTCATTCCTTGGTGAACATGGAGGACGTAGTTTAAAAGGAGTATTTATGGTTTTGTAAAAGGATGTACTTTGGATTGGTAATGTCAGTCCGATGAATAATATTTATCTGCAGTATAATATCAACGTTAAAGTTATTGAAGGTATTGCAATTTTGCGGTATTATTAGGTATTATGAATGACTGTTGTGAAAAGTTGATTTCAATTTTACAACCTCTTTGGCATGCGGTCGTGACTTCAAATTGAGTTTGTTGCTGTTATGTAGCTAGTATTTCCAGTGCCGTTAACTTTCGTATGTTTGTTGGCAAGTATTTAGCAAGATTTCATAGCAGTGTATTTATTCAACACTGGGGCACTGTTATGTACTGGACGTAGTTACAAGTTTCAGTACTTCAAAGAGAGCCTTACGATTTTATCTAAGTTACCAGTAGAAGTCAACTTACAGTAATACCCACGAAGTCAGAAATGTTTGAGAGATATGTTACTGTTCGGTTCGTAAAGTTTAAGAGTGGGATAGGTTAAATGTTGTTATTTACGACATGAGTAAGTATCAGCGTGTGTTATGAATATGCACGTGTTAAAATGTTATTAACCATTGTCTTAGCTTGTCAGAAACTGAGAATGATAATTTGTTAGTGCTCACTTTTTGTTCAGTAGAATTTTAAAAATAGCAGTTTTCATTAATTCGATCTTTTTCCATTTTAGGAATTGCAGACAGTCTTTATTCTTGATATTATATCAGAAATGGCAGTGGATTTGGGAAGTGCATTACCAACTGTTTATGCCACTGTATCTGCTGAAGCCAGTGTCAGTTCCTTCTGTCGAATATGTGCAACCACAGGTTCTCGTCACTTATTCTCAATCTTCAGTCCAGAAGGTGAATTGTGGGATATAGCAGAGAAGATTGGACGTTGTCTACCCATCATTGTATGTATAGTTGGTAGAATTTATCATGATTATTAGAACTTGATATATTTACAGTTTCTTATAGCCCCACAAATTTTAAGACTTAGCAGTTGTTTTTATGTTTTTAACTGATTAGTGCCTTAAATTAGGCCATGACCACCACCTTAAAAACCACCCATTATTTTTCTTTATCATCTTAAAATCCTGTTTCTCTTTACATAATCTTTGCAGTTCAGAGTTTTTATGTAACCTACAATCCAATCAATGATGGAATTACAGTTCCATACATTTTATAGAAATTTGTGGAATTTATTAATTTAATGTTGTGTTTCCAGGTACTTCCAACAGATACCTTGCCTTTAAACATCTGTTTCCAATGTTTGATAAAACTGAATACAAGCTATGAGCTGGTGATTATGGCCCTTAACTCTGAAGCTAAACTTAAAGCTAAATTTGATTTCGCTGAAGACCCTTCACTGCAACCAGAGGTATTTCTGCTGTTGTTGTGCAGCTATATTGAGTCTGCCACTAGGATCAGGTGTTTTAGAAGGCGCTAATGTAGAAGGGGAAGTTATATATGTATGAGCCCACTTGTAAATGTATGTTGCTTCAGTAATCATGGCAAATTTGCCCATGAATCAGTGTGCATTTGCTGTTGAAACCTCTTTTTGGTCACAGTATATTGTGCTTACAGAAAGAATTAGGCTAGATTTTGATATAGCAAGACACACAAAGATTCAAAAGTTGGATATGGTTTTGAAGAGGCAGAGTGGTATTCGTTTTCACTGGACTTCCGTTTGTCAGTAGTACATGTTCATTTGAAAATCAGAGAACATTGAAAGGCGAGAAGTAAAGTGCAATAATGTCTGTCGTGATCAGGTGTTGGATTTTTGTTCACCTTAAAAATCTCATACATGACAGTTCGACAAAGTTTACAGAAAGATTTGAGTTACATCCTAAAAATTCAAATTAATAAACATGTAAAGGATCAGGATGAAATGATGCAGTTTCAGTTTCTGATTTTGGAAATTTTGAATAATGATGCAGATGTGTTAAGTTAGTTGTAAATGCCTGATGAAGACCGTTTTCACCTCAGTGGATATTGTGACATGTTGCGCTATGCAGGACACCCCTCACCCCGCCAGCGGATAGCCGGATCTTCCGTCGGATTATGAGAAAACAAGGAAAGGACCTTATGGAGGAGTAGGCCCCCTCCAAAGGGGAAGAAGAAACAACATATTGAGGAGGAGCCGGTAACGTAGAAGTACCGGCCTCCCGAAGAAGAGTGAATGTGCCATGGGATAGAGCGAAGGATTGAATGTGACACAACTGGATCTTCTGGCAACTTAGCTGGAAACCGCTCGAGATGAGCTGGTCTTAAGAGGGGAGCAGTTTTAACGGAAGGAGAATAGTCACTGCAAGGAGTAGCCGAAATAACAGGAGATGCAGAAGGCCATCCTTTGAAGAAAAGGAATGAGGGTGCACCGTTAGGCTATTTGGGACGAACAGCTTTAAGGAGGGAGCAGTGTGACGTGTTGCGCTATGCAGGACACCCCTCCCCCTGCCAGTGGTGTCAGAGCACTGTCATTACTAGGGAAACAGGCAAGTCAACACTCTTCCCCTACCATGCCAGTGGTGATGTGACCAAGGGATGCCGTGGTTGCTATGCAGCCGTAAACAACTCCCAACAGGGTTGCTAGGCTATCGGCATACACGGTGCCAGACAACAGTGGTGCCTATTACATGGCTGTTTTCTGTGCTGTCTGTAACGGGGCTAAATAAGAAGCAGCGAATGCTATTTAGAGTTAGTTATGGGTTACGAGTTGGCCAGGGAAGAGTATTCAGTCAAGTAATTGCAACACTGCAGATAGCAGTAGTTGTCAGATTGTAAACTGTGTGATTGTATGAGCGAATGTGGAATCAAATTCGCTATATCCAATACGGCGTGAAGTTACTTGTCGCGTGACCTACCCAACACGTGACACTATGTTATCAGACAGAATTTCTAATACTCGGCAGGAGAGCATCCTGTGCAACTGCATGAACAGAACTGGAATTCTTCCATGCCTTGGCAAATCAAAGTCTAGCCTACAGCTTGTCTCTATTTGCTCAATAGACTTCAGAGAAAAGTTTCAACAGTAAATGCCCACTGATCCACAGGTTAGTTTACCATGATTACTGAAACTGCACAGACTTACACGTCGGCTTATACATATGCAACTCACCCTTCTCTTCTTCCTGTTGTATAGCAGTGTCTTCTGAAACACGTGACCCTGACGGTGGATCCTGTGCAATATTATTTTAAGTAGTAATTCTTAATGATATGCTCTAATAAGGAAAGGACAAATAAATAGAAGCATCATGACCTTCCAGTTGTATGTATGTTCTCAATGCAGGCTGCCTAATAATATGTTTAACAAGCGAAGAGAACATAAAGAAGCTCAAACAAGTAACTGGATTATTAATATTTATAAAACCGAAGCTAGCTAGTTTGTTTGTTTGTATATGTGTTTGTGTGTGCACATATGTGCATGTGAAAGGCGGTTAGTCGCTGGCTTCCCACTGTGGTGGCCCGGCTTCGATCCTGGGTCTGGCCAAGTGGGATTTGTGGTGGACAAAGTGGCGCTGGGGCAGGTTTTCTCCAAGTACTTCGGTTTCCCTTGCCAATCTTCATTCCACCAATTGCTCCACAATCACCCTCACCTATCATCTGGGTCTGGTACAATAGGCCAGAAATGGCCACAGTACAAGGGACTTAGTCCCACCCCATTAGCAATAATAATAATAATAATAATATGTGCATGTGGACAAAGCAGTTGTGTTAAGAGAAAGGAATAGAATATAAGGTAGTCAAGTAATGTCAACTGTAACCTTCAAACGATTCTGGCAGTGTTTGAGGCTTTGTGAAATTTTAACTGTAGTGTTATAGAAATTTTGGGGATAACTTTAAAATATGACATGTAGCAGAATTCGATTTTTTACAGTAACTAAAAAGTAAAAGTAGAGTAAGCTATCCCTGTAACAGGCCATGAAGGCCCATAAGGTTGTGAGATGTTGAGGGTCCCACATTATCTAGACAGTCAGCTCAAAGATGGCGGTAAGGTTGTCAGCCTTATGCACTGCCCGTGCTTTACTCCCCAGGATAATTAATTAATTAATTCCTGGTACTCATTTCTGTTAGAGGTTGAGTCGACCCCAGGGCCACAGTGCGGCTGGAAGGATTAGGTCAATTGAAAAAACCCAATGACCTCATTGGGACTTGAACCCGCAACCTTCTCGATTGTAGCATAGTGCCTCAACCAACTACGCTACCGTGTACCCTTTTTTTACAGTAACTAGACATGACAAAGAATTCTAAGCTACATAATATCCCTAACCTGTCACAGAATTTGGTTTATAATTACAGTTTCTGATCCTAATAACATTACAGTGCAGTAAAGACATATTTTCCCCTGCCCTCAAATAGGCATAGGAGCTAGGATACCATAGTCGGTATAGCAACTGGCTATGGGCTGGATGACCGAGGGATCGGAGTTTGAGTCCCGGTAAGGTCAAGAATTTTCTCTTCTTGTCGTCCAGACTGGCTCTGTCATCCACCCAACCTCCTATCCAATGGGTACTGGGGGCTCTTTCCACAGGGGTAAAGCGGCAGGCGTGTGAAGTGGACCACTCACCTCCAGCTAGTGCTGAGGTCAAGAAAATATGGATCTGTACATCCACTCCCCCATGCACCTTCATTGCTTCAGTGCTTAATTAGTTAAGTATAGGGACAACTTCACCTTTTTGCCACAAATAGAAAATAAAAATGGTAACCATACAGTATATATATATTCAGTTTGATGAGTGTGTTCTTTGAGTTATGGATATAAAATTAGTAAGGTAACATGTTATAACATAGCTTTGTGTGAAACATGTTGCTTTTAATTGAGAAATGATAACATGATTGCAGTACAAGATTTTTGGGTTGTATTTTGAATGTTGTTTACTAGAAGTCTGTAGTAACAGACATTTTAAGTAGAATAGATCACTACCTTATATAATCTTAAAGTTCTCCTGTCATCTCTGTTGGTATGGAACTCTTTCACTTAATATACAGTGTGTTATCTCATAATGATAAGAACAAGTTTAGTGTAGGTAGCTAATATACTGATAATCCAGCTGTTGCTGCTTTCACTGTCTGTGCTGCTTATTTATTTTTTATTTCTATTTATTTATTTATTTACTTCATGTCCATGGATATATATTATTATACATGATATAGGACAAGTCAAATACGTTACAATAATAAATAGTAATACTAATAATATAATTATATAATAATATACTAAGATAATACAATGATGATTCGAATAATAGAACTAATATAATCATTTAATACACGACACCGCTGTATGCCTCAAGACCCAGCCCTTCTATCCCGGCACAAAATACCCTGGTATCCTCAATCTTGTCCCTGTAAGAAAAAATACAGAGTAGGGCAGTAGGCATTCCTATAACATTACTAATATTAAAATCTACAAGTTAATTATTCTTGAAATATATGTTTACAAGTGATTAGAACTAGGATTTGTCCCCAAACAAGAGAAACTCGTCTATACTATAGAAACAATGATCAAGTAGGAATGTCTTCAAAGTCTTTTTAAACTTGTATAGTACTGGTATCTCTTTAATATATTGTGGCAACTGATTTAACATACAAAGTCCAATATTATTGAGAACAGTACAGTCTTAACCATATTTAGAGCAACAAGGAGGGCACAAACATATACACAAGTCTGCCAAGAATTTTGTATTAAGAATACTGTGTAACATTTTCCTATTTCCCACCTTAGAAATAATGACTTCAATTTTTTTCTTTCAGAGCTACTTTGCAATGCATTGACCTAATGTGCCAATCACTGAGTTGGGTTCTATTTAAGGTGTTCAGGCCTAAAACAATCTCTTCTAATGTAACTAATGAAACTAGTCATTATGCTGTAAGCAAGTATACTTATTTCAAGAATTGTGACTTGTTACACGTTTATCTTTCAGTTTCCCTTTCTCTTCACTTTTTCAGTCTCATGAAGGTGACCGTATAACTGGAGTGTTTGTGAAGCAAGAAGAGCCAGTCACTAAAGTGAAACAAGAGCTATCAAACAGCATAGAGGAGTCAGTAATAGACATAGCATAGCAGAAGAAATTGCATGTTGGAAGTTTAGTCTGAATTATGAGAAATAGCAGAGGCTAATATGTAAACCACATAGGACTATTATATGTGGGTGTTTGGTTTCTCACTGTCAGGATTGGGTGCAGATGGAGGGTGTTTGTGAACAAAGTATTGAGGAAAATATTTGTATCTAACAGAGAGAGTACAATAGAGAACATTACATAATTAGGAGCCTCAAATTTATAGTCTTAACCTAATATTCATAATATTATATTTCGGTATCCTTTGCATTAATATCTCTCTCACTCATTTCTGTCAATAAATGCAAACATAACTTTTTATTTTAAAGACTTTATGAATTTTAAATGTAATTTTAAGTGACATTTAAAATAAAAAGTTGTGTTTGCATTTGTAGACAGAAATGAGTGAGTTAACCTAATATTGTTGTGAGTTAGGTTCGCAGGTGTCGATGTGAAGAGTTCTGTCTTCAGGGATAAAACCCCATGTAGTGTGAAAGTCAACTACACATTGGTATATCCCAGAAGACAGAACTCTTCTTAACCAAATATTATTAGAATAAGTCAAGGAAATGGGATGAGTGGAACATTGAGCACTTACAGTGACATATGAAATGCATACCAGAATTTGGTAAGAACACCTTAAGGGGACAGCACATTTGGGATACTTAGGCATAGTTTGAAGGGCCGTATTAAATATTTCTTGAGAAATGGGTTTTGAAAAGGTTCAGGATAGAGTCCAATGGTGGATGTTTGTGAACATGGTAATGAAAGTTTGCGTTCCTCGAAAGAAGGAAATGTCTTGATGAGCTGTTAATTAAACCCCAGTTCCTAGCCTATAGCACAGTCTTAAGTGAGCTATCCCAGTTTCTGCATGACCCTGAAATTTGTATATAGTGAGTCTTTAAAAAAGTATACAATATTTGTTAAGGTAATTAATATGTAGTAAAATGGAAGATGAGGGCATGATGAAAATACAGTTAGTCTTTGATTTTGTAATAACAGATGGCAAACTGTTGTAGTTATATCACATGAAATTTTACATGTCTGGAGATTAAATGAAACTGGAACTTATTAAGTTAGGAATAATATTAGGTTGTTGGAACCTATCAATAAAGCTACATGGCATTACATCCTATAAGTTGGATCTTACTTAATCTTCTTTTTTTTTTCCCCTCAAATGTAGTGAGTACGACAAAGTATTGTGATTGTGAGAAAAATGAATTTCAAAATTTTGGTGGATTTACATGTTTTCAGCACTCATGATTCTGATAGAGTGGAATGCCATGTGTCTGCATGTATACATTTACGGACATGTACCTCGCTAGCATCTGCATGGTTGGATAGATTTTATTCATATTCAGTATTTAAGAGTTTATCCGTCTTAGGTTGATGCCCAGTGAATCTGAACATTCCAGCTCTAATAATGGGATTCCTTTGGATGGGCCCCCAAACAAAGAATAATGATTTTCTAGAAAACAGCTGTAACAGTTTTGATAATATTTCAGTAGTTTATGAAGATCATATTCCTAAATGAAACTACATAGTGTTATCTTAAGGAAAATTACGTTATACACACTAGGGGGCAAACGCAAAATGTTAGTTTCTTCAAAACTTACTTTACCAGTCAGATGGATTTCACTGGTTTGGTGTTCAGCAACCAACAGTGGTCTGCCAAGAAACAATCATTTCTGTTTTTAAGGTGACATAGTCGAGGTAAGCTGTATATGATGGAGTATGTGGAGTGTTTTTGCACCAATTGTTTTTAATTTAATGTAATTTTGTTTTATTGTTTTAGCTTACCAGCTGCATTTGAATGTGAAGTTGTGATATCTGAGGAAACTGAAAGTAGTGAAAAATTGGAAGTGGATTCTATATTGAAAGAGACTGATACATTTGAGGAGCAAAATAAAATTCCTCAAGATACAAATGAAATTGAAGAACTGAGAGAACATGAAGTACAAAGCTATAACTGCAGAGTAGAGGTTGATATCCAAGGAAATGACATAGAATCACATAAAAGCAATCTAATTGAGGCCAGTGATGTCCAGCTGATGTCTGAGAAAGTACCATCATTGACCATATATGGACCTGCAGTATGTGACCTATGTAATGTGAGATTCACTGATATGGATGAATTTGACAATCATGTTGCAGGGCAGCATCTTAAGAAACATAAGTGGCAATGCCACTGTTGTGATGATAGCTTTGAGCATTCACAAGATCTTGTGCACCATAAGGCAGTGATCCATGGTGAAGAACCAATCTCTTGTGGACATTGCCAAAATAATGAAGTGAAGAATGAAAATAATGCAAATGAAGGGACTGAAGAAGAGTGGCTTGATGAAAGTGGAAGTCATACCAACAACAATAATAGAGATAATTTAGAATTTTACTGTGAGCTCTGTGATAGGAATTTCTGTGATGAAACCAAATTGAAGGATCATTACCTGGTTCACTCATCACACTCATTGGTATGCAGTAAATGTGGCCTCAGGTGCAGCTCATCACATGATTTGTGTATTCATAAGAGGAGCCACTTGAGAAATGTTACAGAGAGAAGATACACATGTGAGATCTGTAGGAAGACTTTTGTGGAACGTGTTATGTACATCATTCATCGCCGACACTGTGGCAGCAAGCAGTACACATGTAATTTATGTGACCGCACCTTCTGGCATGAATACAGCCTTCAACTACATATGAAAGTAAATAATTTTGAGATTCAGTTAAAATTCTGTTCTTAAAAAGTCGATAAGACAGTGCATGTGAAGTCAACTGAAATAGATATAATGAAATTCTCATTTTAATATGTTCACATTTATCTTTCTGAACTTTTTTACTGTCACATTTGAAAGTTAAAAAAATCGTTGCAAGTCAAATGCATTTAAATATTTCTCTGTTACATAATACTTACTGATAGTGATTTACATTTTTATATATCTCACTTAATTGGAAGACAGTTCTCAATTATATTTGCTTTTTAGAGATGTAAAAACCAAGTATGGGGTCACTGATATGAAAGAACTTCATTAAATTTGTACATACCTTAATTTGCTTGTCTTTTTCAGGTCGTGGATCTGTTTTATGTTTGAATTTATATACTTTTCAGGTCCACAACCAAGAGCAGAAAGAATATGAATGTGACTGTGGACAGAAGTTTGATAAGTATAGCATGTTCCAAGCTCACAAGAAGACGCATGAGAAACCAGCTACAATGAAATGTGTCACATGTCAGAAGGTGTTTACAAATGAGACTTTCTACAAGAGGCACAGATACGTAAGTGGAAGGGGGTATATAGAGCTGTAGTCAGAAGGTCCCATTATCTAGTAATAGATTTCCATAGAGTGTTTTTAGGCTGATTCATAAGTGGAAGGACTATAGAGTTGAATAAGTCTGTTTTCTGATACACGGGCTGTATGAGATTTTAGGTTATCATGGTGGTAAGATTCATGCTCTGGTCTTGTGGGTTATTGGAAAGAATCATCAGGATTATTTTTATGTTAAATAGTACCCACAAGTTTAAGCCAGCCCTGAGGTAATGTTAGCAGTAAAATAGTTTAGGAACTGTTGCTGATAATATCTATGTCACATTTGCAATCCTTTCTGTGAAGGGGCTTTTAATTTCTATTTATGGAGTTATCTGCTAATGTTACCACTCTTCAGATACATGATCCAGAATATTGGGACCGTTTCAAGTGCCAGACCTGCCAGCGTCCATTCAGAGATGCTCATGCATTGAAGAACCATATGCAACTACACGCTGGCATAAAACCTCATATGTGTGATCTTTGTGGTCGTACGTACAACAGGTTTGCCAATATGGTATGTGAATTGTTATTTTTTTACATATTGTACTTTTTCTATAATTAAAAGTTGTTAAATCAACAAGATTTTGATGACTTGGACATTCAGTTCAGATTGGAGAAACATAAAGTGAAGTTGTGAAAAATAAGTTAGTTTTAACATGATGTAGTAGGCAGTACATTTTAAAATGCATTTTTTAAATCTTAGTGCTATATAGTAATGTACATAATTCAAAATTTGGTTTGAAGATATGAATTTTAAGTAGTTTTTGATATTATGAATACCTGTTATGACAAACATTTTTACAGAATTTATAAATTCTCATTATATTGATGTTGCACTGTAGTTAATTTACAGAAGAAAGTTTGTCTCAAGACTGGGTAAAGGTTTTCAACAGTAAACTTCCTTATTAATCATGAGAATAACCTATAGCCTTGGCCTGCACTTCAGAATCCTTGACCTAGAATGCAATACTCAGAAGATGGAAGAAGGGAGGGTAGTAATAAAATGGCTCTTAGAGCGATAGGTTGTGTGTATATACCCACTATATTATTTAGTGGGCACCAGGTACTGTTTCTCCAGCTGATGAATGGTCACAGTATGAAACTGGCTACTGGCTTGAAAGTTTATGGAGCCATACCTCTGAGCCCCTGTTGGCTCAGCATTCTCGGTTACAGTTAAGAAAGAAACTATCTGTAAGAAGGAACAGTGATCGTAGAAGTACTTGGGTATGTTCCTGAAAAATCAGTAATAATCCGTGGGTTGGTAATTTTTTCTAGTTCTGAAATTATTTTCTCCTACGAGATTTTTCATTTTATTCTGTTAGAAATGGTATAGAAACAATTTTATTTTCTTTATATATATTTTATAATTTTGTCACAAAATCTTTACACTCCTGATTTCATTTACAGCTGAAGCATCGCAAACTTCATAAGCCTCAGAATCTTTGGGAACATAATTGCAATCAGTGTGAGGCAAAATTTGAGCGTTTGAAGGACCTAATGTCTCATATGGAGCAGGCACACATGCTTGGTGGCCCAACGGAAGATGCAGAAGGAAAGAAGTCATCTGTAAAGTGGATATGTCGTTTCTGTGGAAAGCGTATCTCTACAAAGCTTAGTCTTCAGGACCATGAACGTATTCATACCGGTGCCAAACCTTATATTTGTGAATGGTGTGGACGCAAATTCCGTTCCCGTCCAAACCTCTTGCAACATCATCTCACCCACACAGGTGATCGGAAACATGCTTGTGCAGTATGTGGTAAAAAATTTGCACGTAAATCGTTCATTGCTCAGCATATGAGGGTGCATACTGGTGAAAAACCATTTGCATGTGATTTCTGTGGCAAACGTTTCACACAGGCTGGAGATATGAGAAGACATTGTGGTCGCCATATCAAACAACAGAAAGAACCAATAGCATTATTTGTACAAATCCAACAGTAATGAAGCTGTATTATAATTCAAATTCTATCATAGGTTTTACTTCTGAAGTACGGTATGGCTCAGTATGAAAGAGCCCAAAATAATTTAATACCTCTAAAAATTATTTTTACTCCAGAAAAATGACACGACATACTCCAGACAAGTGTTATTTTCTTACTGACTTCTCGATATGAAATTGTGAAAATGTTTTCCTCTAGAAGTTTCCATATGTAGGTATCTGGTGGTGTGAAATCTGGAGACTGCTAATGACAGAGATTTTTTTTTCTGGAAATGAGGGCCTATAAGAAAACTTGCATCATCATCTGTGACCTTTTCTGTGTTCACAGAAAAAAAAAGTGACACAGCAAATTATTTTCATATATATTTACTGTACTTTCCCAGCCACTTAAACAAAGAGTGGAGGCAAGGAAACTAAAAAGTCCAGCAAAACGCATCTTACACATGTGCATTAAGTAGTGCTGTAGCCTTTTGAACTATATTGTATTGTACTGTATATGTTTGAAACAGGGTTGTGGCATGAAAAGGCACTGTAGTCATTACACTTAGCAGTGTAAGGAACAGGTCACATTATTTGTAGAAACCTAGTTTTAATGATGTCTGTTACTTGCTGTAATATCTGTTTGTCAAAAGCAAAATTGAATTTTGTTTTTACTATGTGTACTGTCTCTATACTTTCTTTGTTCATCTAGGTAGACATCGGGGATAAGTTGACAATCATCACTAACTTATGGTATTCAACACTCTGTTGCCTTTAATATTTTTAAATAAGTGTTAAGATTTATGTTTTATTTTAAAAGGTTTGCTACATATGTAATGTGTACATCATTGCCTTTTGGGACTTTTAAAGTGATTTAACAGCCTGATCTTTGTCCAGTTTAAATATTGGTGATGCCCTTCCATAATCCTATGTTTGGAGCACTGCTGTCTTATTTTTATCATAATTCTACTGTGTTGTGCTTATTATTCCAGTTTCATTGTTTCATTATTCTCTTCCTAGTAGTGCATGAGGTGGATTACACTGTATGGAGAGAGAAACAGGCTGTGAAGAAGTGAAAATTTTACTGGCTTAGGATAAGGTCCAATGCAGGCTTTGGTGGTGAACTGTTCGATAACAAAAATTTATTGATCCGTTTAATAACACTCAGTTTTTGGATAAAGTTTCTTTTCTTTATGTTTCTTCCTTTATGATTCCCCACTCTGTCATAAGTTGTTTTCCACCATTTTTAAATTAATGTATCTTACTATTTATATTAGTAGTTATATGTTGGAGTTATTTTAGTTTCAATTTTGTATTCATATCTTGAGTCTCTCTCCCAAAGTTGTTCTGTCATCCTCATGCCTCTGTTTTTAGCTGGCCTTGTGTGTATACTGTGCCTGAAGAAACATCTCTGAAGGTGCCTGATCTTCAGATTGTGATAAAAATAATTATGTCATCATTATAAAACTTACTGGATTCTACAGTATACTCTCAGTTGTCTGGTATCCAAGCATCCAGAATTCTCATGCAAGTGGCAAACCTTTCAAATAAAATTTACTATTTTTGTGAAGTTATTCAGAAACAAAGTTGTGTTCATCTGCTATGCAGCAGGTCTCACAGCTGCCATCGACAACACTGCTCACCCCCCCCCTTATACAGGTGCCATTATTGTCATAGTGATCTGTGCTTACATTAGAGGCTAGTTGAATTTCTGATCATATTACTGTATATCCAAAATTGTTTATACATCAATCTACTACATCACCTAAGAAGATTCATGTGCAAGAATTGAAGCAAGATTGCAATGTTTTAACCTTGAAAGAAAACAAAACAAACTATATTGACTGAGCAACCACCGCTTGTCAGCGAAGTTAGTGCCGACTTTGGCCGATAGAGGGTGTCACGTGGTCGGCACAATGGATCCCCATGGCCTCTAATCTTGATTTTGAAAAAAAAAAACCTCCGTGGTTTTAGTTCACATGCGAACTATACCAAGCGATCGACCGCCGCTTGTCAGCGAAGTTAGTGCCGACTTTAGTGGATAGAGGGTGTTGCGTGGTCAGTGCAACGAATCCCCACAGCCGTTAATTTCGGTTTTCTAGACCGGAGCCGCTATTTCCTTGAAATAGCTCCTCAATTATCATCACGAGGCTGAGTGGACCCTGTTCCAGACCCACTACTTCTCAGAAAAAAATCTGGTAGCACTGGGAATCGAACCTGGACCTCTGGATCTGTAGCCAGGAACTCTGACCACTAGACCACAGAGGTGGTCTTTGTTTTGAAACACAAAATGGAAATATGTAGAAGACCAGAAAAGGGCAAAAATTGGGTCTTCCTTAAGCAGTCTGCAGATTAATGTAACCAGAATGTCCCATTCCCTTACATGCTATAAAATGAGGTTACTGTAATTTCAACATAAACAGGAAACAGTAGTGCCATAACAGATATCTCATTAAACTCAAATGGATTTCCTTCCACAAGATTGCCTACTGAAAGTACTCATATGATACACCTGTAAGGGTGTTCTAGGCAAAGAATAGTCTGTGAAATATAATTTGATTGAGTAATAACATGTGATGAAGGATTCCGCCATGCATACCTGATGTGTCTGTCCCATACCACCTCTTTATTTTTTTCTGTTTTTTGCCAAATATTTTTATGTTTTTGTCAGTATGGCAATCACCAAGCCAGATAATTTTTAACCAAATAACTAACTTCATATGGGATATGGAGAATAAGATATAATAAAGAGTTATACAAATTATATAAGGAGCCAGAGATCTCAGTGACAATAAAGCTTAAAAGATTGCAGTGGGCTGGGCATGTACAGAGAATGGATAAGGAGTGTATCCCAAAGAAAATATACAGTACAATAGGTGGTAGGAGACGTGCTGGGAAACCAAGAACCAGATGTATTGATGTGGTGGAAGAAGATGCAAAGAAGTTAATGGCCGTAAGGAACTAGAAGAGAGCAGCGCAGGATAGAGAGGAATGGAGGGGCTTGATAAGGGAGGCCAAGGCCCGACATCGGGCTGTTGCGCCATAGAAGAAGAAGAAGAAGAAGAACTAACTTCATGGAGCTGACCCCTTCTTGAAAAGTCGCCAGGTTCACAGCTAATCAAAAACTTCCAAAAATTTATGGAACCCAAAAGTTCATTACTGTGCTCACAAGAACCCTCCACTGGTCCCTATCCTCAGCCGGATCAATCCAGTCCATATCATCCCATTGTATCTCTCCGAGATCCATTTTAACATTGTTCACCCACCTACATCTTCGTCTTCCTAGTGGTCTCTTTCCTTCTGGCTTTCCCACAGATACCCTATATGCATTCCGCTTTGCCCCCATTACTGCTACATGTCCTGCCCATATCATCCTCCTTGACTTGATCATTCTAATTATATGTTGGCGAAGAGTACAGGTTATGAAGCTCCTCATTATGAAGTTTTCTATAACTTCCTGTCACTTCAATTCTCCTCAGTACCATGTTCTCAATCATCCTCAATCTATGTTCCACCTTTAATGTAAGAGACAAAGTTTCACCCCCAATACAGAACCACAGGCAAAATTATAGCATTGTATATTCTAATTTTTACACTTTTAAACAGCAGATGAGAAGACAAAAGGTTCCAGACATAATGGTAGCAAGTATTACCTGAATTCATTCGCCTTCTAATTTTCTCATGAATCAGATTCTGATTTGTTATGGCCATTCCAAGAATATTTGAACTGTGCCACATTTTCAAAGGATCTGTTAGCTATCTGAACATCATGATTTTGCCCTGCATTCTGGGTACAAGACAGAAACATACACTTAGTCTTGTCTAGTCTTACTTCTAGACCAACCTGCTTATTAGTGTCAGTTAAAGTTTCTGTTTTCCTTTGTGGTATGTATGTTATCCCCAGTAGATTCACATCATCAGCATAGACCAGCAGCCGATATGTTAGATTTAATTTCAGTCCCATCTGGTTTTCATGGACCTTCCTAATTGAATATTCTAATGCAAAGTTGAAAAGCAGTGGAATTAAAGCATCTCCTTGTTTTAGACCACTTTGAATAGGAAAATTGTCAGACAGATGTTTACCTATATGGTCTTTACTATACATTTCATTTAAACACATTTTAATGAGCTTAACTAGTTTCATGGGTACCCCAGAGTCTATGAGAATGTTGTACAGTACTTCCCTCCTAACTGAATCATAGGCTTTCTTGAAATCTATGAATATGTGATGTACTGTCTCATTGTACTCCTGTTTTTTCTCCAGTATCTGTCGAATGCAGTCTCATCAGTAATTGATCTGTTATGTTGAAACCTACACTGATGATCCCCAATAATTTCATCTATGTATGGACGTAACCTCGAGAGATGGATATTGGATAAAATTTTGTATCAAGTTGATAGCAGTGTTATCTCTTCTTGCAAATTGGTATAATAATAGGCTCCTTTCACTGATCAGGCAGTTCTTCCTTATTAGAAATAGAATTAATAAGTTCATGGATCTCGGGCCTTAATATTTCTCCTCCTGCTTGAATCAGTTCTGGTGGGATTTGGTCACTACCTGGTAATTTATACCTTTTCAACTTTGCAATAGCAGTTTCAACCTCAAAAGGACTAGGATCAAGTACTAATGTAAATGGCAATTGTTTAGTTGATTATTTCGTGGTCGTCGCCTGGGAATGGGTCTACATGCCACAATATATATATCGCCATCGTTTGTATATTCCCGCATGAATCACCTTGTGAGATCCTTTCTGGACCGAAACATGTAAAAAAAAAGGGGGGGGTAAAGCTATCCCTGCAACAGACCATGGAGGTCTGTATGTACGGTTGTGAGACGCCGAAACTCACAGATTTTCTAGACCATTGGTGGTGGCGAAGTCAGCCTTACGCTACTACCGCCTGATTTCTATTAAAGGTTGAGTCGACCTCAGGCCTATAATGGGGCTAGAAGGATTTGGTCAATTGAAAAATCCAATGACTCTAATGGGAATCGAACTCGCGACCTTCCGCCTTGTAGCGTAGTGCCTCAAACAATTACGCGCTCCTGGCCGAAACTTTTTCTGCGTGGAATAATGGAAATATTTGTGTGACGGTAACTCCACCATTTTTAAGCACCACAGACAGGCTGCATCATTAATAGATCATGTTGCCTGCCTATAGATGTTATATATAATTATATGAAGTTTCTGTACCAAATTTCCTAGTTAGTATGGAGTGTACATAATATACTTTTTTCAAACTTGCTAGACTGATTCATTGTCCTCCAGGAGTGGGGCACAATGAAAATTGACCATTTCGTACTTAAAGTAATTTACCTTGAAAATGATTTTTGGTAATACAATCAATACGCAAATAATGCAGATTTTAAACCGTGAAAACAATATTCGATTGCAATTACAGAAAATATATCATTGGACATGTTTTTTCTCTGGATCAATGTGCCCCATTCTGCCCCACTGTCGACATTTCCAGGGCACATCAAGCAGCCAGCTGATAGAGAGCGGAAGTGAGGAAGAGTGAGGAAAGGGTTGAAGGTTTGACAGGGAATGACATTGTTAAAATTATTCGTAAAGAAACAGGAGTGTGAAGGGGCAGAAGGTGCAGACTCTTCAGCTCACAAGCAGTATATGCCGTATATGCTGCTACCTTGATCTTAATTAGTTTCCTTTCGAGGCATGTTAACGTTTTATGGTGGACGTAGTACCGGCACGAATGAGCACATATAATAGGCTACGTACTTTTGATCCGTGATGTAGTGACAAGTTTCTGCAGGAAATGGTTTGGTGACCGAAGGTGCCAATGTAGAAACTACAATTTCGTATAGTAAGTCAGGAGAAAATGGGTGCCGTAGTACACGATGGTAGGTTAGGGCTACGTAAGTTAGGTTAGTTTTGTTTTTCATAAAAGCATTGTGACCTAGTATGACTTCCGTCACAGGACAGAGCTCAGGACCCAAGTTTCGCGTGTCTGTCGTTTTATACAACTTGGCGGTCGTATGAAAGCAAAATGTCAAACGCACTCATGCAACAATTTGTTGCGGGCCTTAAGTCCCGGAATGCTGAGACTCGCTCAAAAGCAGCAAGAGACTTATATCATTACGTAAGTAAGAAATGGAATGTATTGCTTATTACTTAATGGAATAGTTAATAAGGCAGATCCTTCCAAATTGTATTGGTTTGCTCTAGGTCAAGACAGAGCTTCGGGAGGTCTCTATGGAAGAGCTCACCTCGTTTATGGACGATTTCAACCATCATATCTTTGAAATGGTTTCTGGATCTGATGTGAATGAGAAGAAAGGAGGAATATTGGCCATTGGTGAGTGACAGTGTAAGAAGTTTAAATATATTGTCCTGTGAATGGATTAAAATGTGTTGAAGGAAAAAATGATGTGTTTTTGAAGTGACGTAAGAATTAATGTATAATAATGATATTCATAACACTTATTAGCAAGGCAGTGATGGCAAACGTTTTTCATATTGACATTTGCTGTAAAGCAAAACAGAACAGAAAGAAACAATAACTAGAAAAATAAACCTTCAAAATCAAAATAAAGGAAAAGGATGAATAAATCAAACTGCTCCTAGAAAACAAAAAATAAGTGGAACAAAGAATGGAAAGAAAAAGGACAGCAGACAGACAAATCAGACTGCTTCAATTTGATTTATCTTTTTTACTTTAGCAGTTTTTTGTCTCGTTTTCTTGTTTCTTAAGGGATCTCATGTAACCTGTTATATTGTTACCAACATATCTGAGGAAGATGTGGCCTTCATTTTTAAGGTAGAAGCGTCTGGAATGTGATGTGTAGTCAGATTTTTACCAACATTTCAGAGGAATGTGCTGTCACCATGTTCAGGATAGAGGAGTACTTTCCAGGAGAACAAGTGTCAGCATCACATCCCAGAAAACATAATCACTGCTATGAGGAACTTGAGCTCATGTGTTTTTCATACTTTTGCAAACTCCTGGTTATCCAGTGTCCATACATCTGGAATTCTCATCCAGGCAGTAAAAATTTCAGTGACAGTTTAGATTCTTATAATGTTGTTCAAAAAAGAAATTTTTTATGCACATATGTTTGCCTACTATGCTGTAGTTCTCCCAGCTGTCACTGGCAGCATTACCCATCATCTGCCCGTACACAGATGCTATTGCAGCAGATGTTTGTTGAATTTGTGATTGCACTACAGTATGTGTATCAGAAATATTTCACCCATCAACTCACTACATTTCCCCTAGGAAGATTCCCACACAAGCGCTGAAAGAAAACCATATTATTTTGACTCTGTATTGGATTTTTGTTTAAAGTTTTTCTCATGCAGCCAGGAGATTCATATCACTGGTACACTCCATTCCCCATACATGCTGAACAACAAGAATTTGTTTTATGTGTAGTCTTAAAAATGTATTGCTACCATAATAGGATACAAAATAATTACTGTCATTTTGAAGTATCCATTAAAACATGGAAATTTCAACTTTTATCATCCAGGAAAAGTGAATTCTGATCTCTCAGTGCTACATTGCTAATGGCCAAATTTTAAAATGGTGGTAATGGGTTTATATTAAAAACAGTATGACACTAAGGTTGCTGGGGCCTGCTAAATCCATGTATGGCCTGCCATAATAGTGCGATGCATGGATGATAAAGGTCAAATATGGTGAACATTTCAACAAAGTACCAGATTACACTAATGTGTGATATTCAGCCACCATGTTGTAGGTATGAAACTTATGTTTCAGTTTGCCTCATACGTGCAGATGTTGGTAACATCAATACTCGCATCAGCAGGTTTGCCAATTACCTACGAAATCTTTTACCATCAAGTGATACTGGTGTGATGGAATTGGCTGCAAAGACAGTGGGGAAGTTGGCACTTGTATCTGGCACATATGCAGCAGAATATGTAGAATTTGAAGTGAAGAGGGCCTTTGAATGGCTTGGTGGGGATCGTAATGAGGGCAAGAGACATGCTGCGGTAAGATATGTACAGGCAGAATTGTGAATTATACTGCTGATTTTTTTTTGCACTCTATTCTACCATGTTGTTATTTATGCCTTACATTAATGTCTTACACCATGCTTTTTATAGAAGGCCTCTATAAGGTATTGTGATAGTATTTGTTTGTAGTTTATTTGATGGTTCTATCAGTAACTTGTGCTTTGTAACATTGAATGACTGGATGAATTGAATAGGATGTGGAGGAAATCAGTCATAGCCTGAATTAAAGTATTGTCCTAGCATTTGCCTGGAGGGACCAAGGAAAAACACAGAAACTTCAGTCAGGATAGCTGGCACCCTGGCCAAGATTCAAACCAGGGAACTTCCAGATACAAGTCAGAAGAGTTAGTGCTTCGGCCAATATGCCCTATATATTGTAATATTATCTGAAACTAAATCAATTTTTATTCCCTTACGTGTAAAGGTATATCATTTCATGCAAAAGTGTTTTGTATGAATAAATAGAAAAACAGGCTGTCTCATGAATTTGATACCGATTTCTGTTAATGTAAAAAGCTGGGGGATACTGTATAATCCTTGGTTTCTGTGGAGCCACAGTTTAAAAGGTTTAAGATTTAAATGGCAGTAAAATATAAATAGTAATCTGTGTGTTAGGCATTAGAAATGTCTTGTATTTCTGCAGTCTTTGTTTAGAATTATGGGGTGAGTGAAAATATGTGAAGTGATGGAAGATGTTACAAGAGGATGAATATAGTGATATTTTTGAGAGCTAATATAGTAGTGAAATAAATATGAAAATCTCTTCATGAAGTGACCAGCGTGTCAGTTCTGACAAAGAAAAAAGTGTCAGTGCAAACAGTAGCATGCAGAATGACATATGGGCAAGGTCAGGTGCCGAGCGACCACATTTTCTATTCACTGGCAAGCCTGGCATATTTTGAATTGTTTTGTACACCAGAAATTGTCGAAGTAATAGTCAGAGAAACAAATCAGTATGCCAAAAATTTTTTATAAATGCCTAATCCAAAACAAAGATCTGGGACCCATCACTGGAAGGAGATGAACAGAAATGAAATAATGAAGTTGTTGGAATTCTTTCTGTTACAAAGACTTCGCCAGAAACCGGATAACAAGAGCTATTTTTCCTGGAGGAAAATTCTGGAAACATACTTATTTTTAGACCTGTTCAGTGAGAAATTTCACTTTCTACTCAAGTTTCTTCATTTTGTTGACAATGAAAAGGGTCAATGTTATGAAATGGTAGAACTGCGAAAACTAGGATGGCCCTGTATGCTGCAACTTTTCCAACTTTACCGTGTGGCAGCCAACTTCTAGACGCGGGAAAGGAGATCAAGGTTCAGCATCCGTCTTAAGAAGTGTCTGAATGTAAGATTTTAGTGGCTAGAAGGTGACCATGCGGTAGTGTAGTTGGTTGAGGCACTATGCTACAAGCCGGAAGGTCGCAGGTTCAATTCCTGATGAGGTCATTGAATTTTTTTCAATTTACCTAATGCTTCCAGCCACAGTATGGCCCTGGGGTCGACTCAGTCTCTAACAGAAATGAGTATCAGAAAGATTCCTGGGGGGTAAAGTGTGGCCAGTGGGTAAAGCTGACATCCTTACCCCCATCTGTGAGTCGGTTGTCTAGAAGATGTGGAAGCCTCAACCTCTCATACCCCTGTGAGCCTTCACCGCCTGTTGCAGGGGCAGCTTTACCTTTACATTACCTTTTAGAAGGTGTGCAGTGGGCTGGTATTAAGTACTACAACCTTAATTATAGAGACCTTCACAGTACGTGCCACTGGAGTCGCACCAGCGTTTCTGGTGGTATAAGTGTTTTAGTGATGATTTCATAGTCTGTGCAAGATAATGCTTTTGCAGTTGATGTTTGGGAAAACAAATAGGTTTTGTTGCACGGTTCATTCATCTGCGGTAACCTTGAGCTTGTGAAGGACGTAACAAATTCAGCCCGCACGGCAGTAAGAAACATCTGTTATCAAGGGTAGTGAGAGCTGTAGTAGGTCATAGTGTAATGTTGCAGTAATCAGACATGTGAGTGTGTGTTTAGGCTGGAAGTTGCTTTATCAGCTTCAGTGATCATGTTTCATCTCTAAACACCAGAAGCCGGTCAGGACTGCAAGTACTAAATGTGCGTGAATCAGACATGCCTTTGTGATCACATGTTGCGAAGTGAAATGCATGTCAGTGGCAACATTGACATACTTCTTGAGAATAAAGCCAGAAATATGGAACTTTACAAAAAAAAAATATATATATATATATATAAACTTTAATGTAATGTATATATAAATGAAAATATATGAACTCTGAAAATTGGACTATTTTTCTTCATTATTTTATAGTGACACATGTTTGGGATATTGAATTTTAAAACAGGAGCAGCAATTATAAAATTAAACAATGCAGCAACAAATTTAAATGTCCAGGGAAGTTTGATATCCCACTCTTTGAGAGGTAAGAACATGGAAAATATACACTTAGCTGGTTCAAGATGTTGGTTGCATTCAGAAACAACTCTGCACACTTTCACATGAAAGCAAAGAGATGTTCATCTGAACTTTGTCATACTTTCAAGCCAAGGCTGGGAAGAAAGTTTATTATACTACATAACCTTGATTTATGCTTATTGTTATAATACGGGTAACCCTGGAAAACATGTTATTTACTGTGCTTGCTTGTTTTGATAATATAAATGCAGTAAGTTGATGGAAAGATCAGTTGGTTGTTTTATATATTTTGTGTTTCACCAGGTGCTTTCCCTTTGAATATTTGTTGTAATGTTCCAGCCTTGTTACTGTCATTCAGAATTATCTAGAACTTAACATTTCATTCATAAACATCTGGTGATTGCCCATTGTTTCACATATGGTGGTTAATATTTACAGGTGCTTGTTCTCCGAGAATTGGCAGTTACTATGCCAACATATTTTTTTCAACAAGTTCAGCAGTTTTTTGATCTCATATTTAATGCAGTCCGGGATTCGAAGCCAGTAATTAGAGAGGGTGCTGTGGAGGCATTGAGGGCAGCTCTTGTAGTCACTGCACAGAGAGAGACTGCCAAGCAGACACAGAAACCACAATGGTGTGTATGAAATATGGAATGCAAAGAAACTGAGAATACAGACCAAAGTGAATGTAGGAATAACTGTGCCTCTTTTAGAGTAATTCACGAACAGTTATTTTTTTTATTGCTAGTGGGGTGGAACTAAGTCCCTTGTACTGCGGCCACTTCTGGCCTATTCTCCCAGCCCCAGATGATAGGTGAGGGTGATAGTGGAGCAATTGGTGGAATGAAGATTGGCAGGGGAAACCGAAGTACTCAGAGAAAGCCTGCCCCAGCGCCACCTTGTCCACCACAAATCCCACTTGACCAGACCGAGGATTGAACCCGGGCTGCCGTGGTGGGAAGCCAGCGACTAACAGCTTGAGCTATGGCGCGGCCTTCATAAACAGTTCAGTGAACCACGTATTGTATAGGTTTGACCAACTGAGTATCCTCTTGTTTATGTTCCTGATTTGTGATGTCATGGAAATGAATCTCAGCCCTTACAATTTTCTTCAGTCACTCAAGATATATGCTTTGTCTAAAAAATGTTACTGCTTCCTTCCCCTTCCTTTCCATTTTGTCATTTACAATCATTTGAATCGTTTCATTCTCTATAGTCAGTGTAGTCAGAAATTAACCTTTAAATAACCCAAAGATCATGGTATTGTAAACCTGTCCACACGTTTTTTTTTTTTAAATCAGCTTCATCAACGTTTACCATGTAAAGGGACCGCAGAGAAATTTGATGGACCAGCCAGCACGGGAACTAACTAATATAACATCATATGATTACAGCTTTTGTGTATGCAAGATGTATATACCGCTTTACTCAAAAACTTAAATACACTTTTAATTGCGTCTCATTAAATATCAAATGAACAGTTCAAAAAATAATTGTATGCATTAATATTTTTTTTTGTGATTATTTAATAACATATTATCAACTTTAGCAGTTACATAGCATCAAGAAGCTGATGAAAGAAATAATTAATTTTCTGTACATTTAGATATTTAACGTACCATTTTTAGGCAAATTTAGATTAATAAAATTTGTCTCTCTGAACACTTGTAATATGTTTTGCAAGATCCCCATGTTCTTAACCAGGAGCAGTATTTCTGCCACTAGGCTTTATTCCTTACAGCTCACTTTCAGACACAGAGCAATAATGTTTGTGTAAGTAATATAGGTTGACGTTAAGGGAGAGATTTACTTATACCTGTGCCTAAGCACCATGCCATGTTGGCATATAAAGAGGGTGGAGGTAGAGCTCCACACATTCTTAGTCTTGTGTTAGATGGTGTTGGAAACTGGCAGAGTTAATGTTTCATATGTGCTACTTAAAATCTCATGTGTATTGGCAGATTTCATAACAAATGTTAACACATTATTTACTAACAATGAGCTGACTTATGAGCAAAAGTAAAATTGTCCCTGGGCCAAAGTGTGACACCCTGAGGAGTATGACAGCAGTGGAGTTGAAGCTGCACATATTCTTAAGGGCAATATAACCAGTTTAGGGTCATTGTTTTCAAATAGTGGAAATACTTGTAGGTGTTTCTGAATCGTTTGGCTTTTCTTTACAGGATGTCAAATTTTTGTCTTATCTGACACAATATTACAGAAAAATGTGTACTAAATTAAGTCTTGTTTTCTCAAAATGGCATTTTTGTGACATGAAGGTACACTTGACCTAATCCATCCAGCCACACTGTGGCCCTGGGGTCAACTCAGCCTCGAACAAATGAGTACCAGGAATCTTTCTGGGGGTAAAGGTCGGCTGTGGAATAAGGCTGACAACCACACCTCCATCAGCGAGCCGATTGTGTAGAGGAAACGTGGGAGCCTCGATGCCTCACAACCCCATGGGTTGTTAATCAGTATGGGCATCATACGAGTACTACACTACCTACTCTTTCAAAGGTCTAGATCAATATGTTCTTTGATCTTGGAGAAAAGAGTACCTTTATTCATTACATGCTATTGTTAATGACAGTTCTTTTCTTGTAACATAAACATATACCATGAATATTGAGGAGACTGTGAAACAGCCCATTATGTTAGCTACTAGAATAAAAGGAAGACCTCTCCCCACAAATTTTGGCTGTGATAAATATTTTGAAGAAGACTTTGCTTCTTTGGTTACATTTTACCTTAATATCAGCACTACCATAATGCTTTCATTTAGGGAGAAAGTCTGAATGGGCCCTAGAGCTGGACTGCATATTATGGCAAAGAGAATCCCCTTTTAATTTTAGAACTTTCGCCAAGATCTCATAATGCTCTGATTGGGAGAGAAAGTCCAAGTTGGCCCTAGAGTTGGAGCAAATATTATGGCAAAGAGAATCCCCTTTTAATTTTAGAACTTTCACCAAGATCCCATAATGCTCTGATTGGGAGAGAAAGTCCAAGTTGGCCCTAGAGCTGGACCGCATATTATGGCAAAGAGAATCCCCTTTTAATTTTAGAACTTTCACAGATCTGAATTACATCTGGTCCAGAGAAATGTCTGTAGGTGAACAGATTTGTTCCCTTTGTAACCCAGCAGGCTGTCAAAGGTAATGTAGTTTTTTAATATTAGTTTATGTTGATTGGTGCATCAGGTACAAGCAGTGCTATGATGAGGCCACAAGTGGGTTTGATGAAATATATACAAGAGAAAAGGGTGTTAGTCGTGATGATCGAGTCCATGGTTCACTACTTGTACTCAATGAGTTGCTGAGATGCAGCAATGCTGAGTGGGAGCGCAGCTATGAAGAGCTGATGGACCGAGTGCAATACCAGCAAGGACAACAAGCTAGTGTGAGTTTACTTTGAATTGTCATCATCAAGCATTAACATATACACCAAGGTGGCTCATCATCTCAATAGTAAAGCCTTCTTCGTTCTTATCTACCCTCCCTTGAGTTATTCAGATCAAGTGTATTATGTCAAGCCTACTTTGAATACCTATTGTAAAACTATTGGAATACATATAGAGGATTGTTAACATCATCCAGTGTGATTGGTAAATATTATGTTGTTTTGTGTGTTTTTGAATCTTTCATCCTTTACATGTTTCCATCGTAGCGACCATCGTCAGAAGGACATTATCAGTACATACGGAAACTACTATTACGCTGTCATTGGTCATTACCAGTACTTACAGAACATACTATTACAATGTGATAGGTATAAAATATTGTCCTGTAACAATTATGATGTGCATGAATTGTTAAAACATTTATAAATTATTATAATTAGTCTGTTTACAAAGTATTGTTTAAAAAACTTTTTGTTAAAATCTAGAACCAATTTGGTTCATGTCCTGTATACTTTTTCTCTTTAACCAAATTGGTTCTAGATTTTAACAGACAGTTTTTAAACAATGCTTTGTAAATAGATTAATTATAATAATTTATAAATGTTTTAACAAATTCATGCACATCATAATAATTGTTACAGGATAATATTTTATATCAACATTGTAATAGTAGTTTCCGTATGTATTGATAATGTCCTTCTGAAGATGGTCGCTGCTACCAAAACACGTGAAGGATGAAAGATTAAAAAAACAACATTTATCAATCACACTAGATGGCATTAAAATTTTTTTATACTGTTGCTAATGTGACAGACCAGGATGAAGTCAAACTGGAATGCAGACTGTTGAAATCAATAGGAAATTGAAAATGGTAAGAGTACATATCAAATTTGTTATATCTAATGGTAGAGAGAGTAATCCTCTGCTGTAAAAATATAATTTCAGATCAGAATGAAATTAATATGAATGAAGGAGTAAAGTTTAAATAGTGAATTATCAGTTACTTATGTGTGTTTAAGTAATGACATTGCCTTGTTTTCGAACTGCTAATAAGCACTGTTTCATTAATTGTCTGGAGAGAGGTCATATTAATTGAATGTATACTTTCATTCATTCATCTGTAATCTATCAAGACGACAGGTCCACAGTCTCTTCCAAAACAATTCCTCCACTTAATGCGATCTAGAGCTTTCTCCTTCAAATGAAAATATCCTCTTCTGTCCTCATGGTCATCCAGCATCTTCTTATGTCTTCTTCCTCATCTTCTGGTTGCTTCTATCCGCCCCTCTATCTCTCCTTCAGTAACTTCTTTTAGAAGGCAGTTACCGCGTAAGATATGACCAATCCAATTAGCCTTCCGTTTTCTTATTTTGTGTATACTTTATTTTGACTGATTTGGTACTCAAGCCTTGAAGAAGAGATTAAATGTAGACTCAGAAAATTGTGAAGATGAAGGAAGGTAACGTTTACAGGTGTTCAAGACATTTAATTTATTCTGGTTTATTTCCTGATATTGTTAAAGTGATGAGTGTCCCTGCAAATACACTCTGGCAAAACATACTGTTGTTGTTGTAGTACATGCTTGAAATAAATAAGAGGTAATAAAAGTGTATGGACAGAATTTACCTAAATATGTATTTCAACCCCCTTAAAGATATGAATTTCAGCAAATGTTGATCTTTATTATTTTAGAATAGGGGATTTTAAATCCTCCAGAACTACAGAGCAGGCAGCTGGATTTTAACTTGGAGGTCATGGTAATAAAAGAATATAGTGCTCCGTCAACTGGATCATAAACGTGCGCCGTATAAATAGTGCAGTGCATACGTCCATAGAATTTAATTCACTAAAATTATTTTGCTGATCTGATCTTTGTAGACATCCAGGAACCGGTCCTAATGAAAATCCTTCAAATCATTTTATGCAGTTTACTTTCCATGGTGAATACTAACTACACTTGACATGTCTAAATACTTTAAACATTTACAGAATGGGAACTACTATTTGTAACCTACTTTTAGAATTCTTTGATAAATGCTAACTAGGGTTCACTTATTCAGATATTCTTTTACAGGATTTAATTTCAGACCATAGATATGGGGCTGGGAGGACCTGGAAAAGTTGATGGTACCTTTATATTGTAATACATAACCTGGACAGATTAACTGTATAGTCATACAGATATTGCCTTGTTTATCAAGTGCGTACTTGAGGAGTGTATCAGGATGTGATGTGGATGGCTGGCTTTGGGGTGGCGGTGCTTGTAGCTGCCCACTCTCTATGTGCTGTTGTATTCCCTTTCACCCCTCTCTGACCTATGCCAGTCAGCTGAAAGTACTCGTTGCTGTTGAAGGTTATCATGTTATCACTACCAGCATTATGTGAACAGAATGGTTAGACAGCAGGATTGGAGTATGGGGAATTATGCTAGAAGGGGAAGCATAACAGCTGAAGGTATATGTGGAGGGAGTTGATCCATGGGACTTCCTTCTGTGTCCTCAGTAGAATCAAAACACTTACCTTTTCTTACATTTTTTATGCCCTTTTTAGGACATCAGAGTTTTAACTTGAAACATAAATGTTTCTGTCTATACACTTACTCATGGAGCTGAGCCCTTCTGGAGGAGCCGCCAGTTCTGCAGCTACTCAAGAATTTCTCATTAAATTTTTTATTAGATTATATTTACATTGTTATAGTGCTTATATTAAAAGAAAAATGATGTATCAGAAAATTTTAACTATTGGCCATTGTCTGTAATTAACCTTTTAAAACATAGAGTTAACTATATTTGCCACTGCTTCAGTGTTCAGACATTCTGTATTTTGCTGACTATGTATGTTTCCTGTGATTCTGTGGATAAACTGCAGTTATTTCCCCAGTAGCATTAACCAATGGGTGACTCTAATGGATGTACAGTGTGTTCTGAGAAGTAGAAACTGAGTTTTTAAATACTATTTAGATGTCATTCAGTCTTCAAAAGGTAGAATAAAATTGTTTGAATCTGTTACAGGACTGTATGAGTTTGATGCCCCGGCTAAAATCACCATTGGTGCCAAAGTCACAACAGGGTAAAGGGAGTCCAGTAGCAGTGTCATCTCCTGTTGGGAACCATCGCCTCTCTCTGTATGAAAGTGCAGCTTGCCGACAGCTAATGACCGAACGATTTGATGACGTGTGCAAAGATGTGCTGACCCAACGGAACTCACGCAGTCCCCACGTCCATCATACATTGCTTGAGATATTACCAAGGCTTGCAGCTTTCAACAAAGAGAAATTTGTTAAAACGTAAGTACTGTGGTGATATAATTTACCAATCTGAAAGATACTGTTGGCACTTTCATGTGTTTGGGGTGTGTTGTTTGCTAGGTAAAGGTAAAGCTATCCCTGTAACAGGCTATGGAGGCCCATAGGGTTGTGAGAAGTTGAGGCTCCCACATTATTATCTGGACAATTGGCTCACAGATGATGGCGAGGTTGTCAGCCTTACGTGCCAGGTGGCCTTTACCCCCAGGAAGATTCCTAGTACTCATTTCTGTCAGAGACTGAGTCCACCCAAGGGCCATAGTGCGGCTGGAAGGATTATGTCAATTGAAAAATCCACCCCATCTGTACTCAAACCTGTGACCTTCTGGCTTGTAGCATAGTGCCTCAACCAACCACACTACTGTCTGGTCAAGTGGGATTTTATGGTGGACAAAGTGGCGCTGGGGCAGGTTTTCTCCAAGTACTTCGGTTTCCCCTGCCAATCTTCATTCCACCAATTGCTCCAAAATCACCCTCATCTATCATCTGGGGCTGGTAAAATAGGCCAGAAGTGGCCGCAGTACAAGGGACTTAGTCCCACCCCACTAGCAATAAAAAAAAACCACGCTACCACTTGCCCCCGTGTTGTTTGCTAGAAAACCTAAAAATTGAACATTAAGGTTGACTGAATGTGCTCATACTTAAGTATAGGAGTATACATTTTTGCTTATTTCTTTGAATTGTAGTTAACATATTCATTGCTTTCATGATGTGATTCTGCCACATGCCATCTAGAAGTCATGAACTTTGTTATGTTATCGTTACCCCTAGCACCTGGCATTGAGCTGTAAGATTTTCTACAGGATATACAGGAAACATCTGTTGTTTTTACTGATTGGTTCTGGGTATTTCTAATTTATATAATTATAAGTAATAGGAACTTTTAAGAACTTTTCAAATTTCTCATTGAACATGTCTTGATAAAACATAATTGATTCTTTTTATGTCATGTCAGACACTTAAACACATCGATGCAGTATCTTCTGCTAAGCCTGCGAGGTCGTGAGAAAGACCGTAGTACCGCCTTCACCACAATAGGCCTAATTGCTTTAGCTGTTGAGGAGGATATTAAACCTTATCTTCCAAGGATCATGGAAGTTATTAGAGTGTCACTACCTGCAAAGGTATGTGTGTTATATCATTACATTACACTGGTGAAACAAAAGTAAGGTATGGAAACAAAAATTTTTCTAATTCTCATAATTTGTAAAATTTCTCAGGTATGAAATTGATAAGCTTGAATGATGTTAATAAATCATGTATGTCTTAAGGAGACAGTTCAGTTGGCAGGTTCATTATTCAGAAAATAGTCGGAATGTTAATTGGGTCCTGGTTAAAGAAGTACAGATATCCCTTATTATCTCTGATCTCATTTTTCATGATCGTACTATAATATGAGTTCATTTAAAGAAATTGATGTTGTGATGTGTGAAATGAATATCATAACATGATGTGCAAAGAGCATAAAGATGGATGGGCTCCATGCCACTTATCATTGACATGAGTGTACTGAGCGCCACTCAGTATCTTTGCAGAGCCTCAAATTACGTTTTATTTTATCTCCTTAATTTTTCTTATCCTAGTCTTTAAGTTGATCATTGTGAGCAAACATGGTACCACTGATAAAAGTGCTGCTTGTAGTGAGAGATGAATGAAAGCTCTTACCCTCAAGGAGAAATTAGATGTGATAGAATTATGAAAGTGACAAATGCACAGTTGACAGCTAATACCAAGGAAATTCCTCAACTGACCTTAAGAAACATTAGGAAGAAAGCTGAAAACATAAAAGAAAGTTGCAGAAGTGCAATAAGGGTAATGGTTAGTAAGATACATTTATATACAATGAATGAATGAATGAAAGATCACACAAATGAGGGAGCTGATTTTGTAGAAATTGAAAGGGATCCTGGCTCGGAGGGTGGGGCATAAATACCGATGTGCCATTACTCTTTATCATTCGTCATTTGGGCTAATGCAAAGAACTTGTCTGATGAGCTGAGTGGTAATGATGCAGATCCAAAAATACCATTGTCTGCCCCAGTGCTTGATGAATCAGGTATTTTAAAGGATGCCTGGTTCCCATAAATTAATAGGCAAGAATTCCTAGTCTCCTGTTTTCAAGCCTGATCTTGCTCCTTTGTCTTCACCCCTGTCACCATCCCATAGTTCATCAGATTAATTTTTTTGTTAATTGTAAAATAAATGATACTAATATTAATATGAAGATTTCATAGTAAGCATTATTGTTACATATTTTGTTTGTGGTTTTGGAACATATGCCATGTTATGTTGTGTTAAAATTAACTCACTTCCTCTGTTGAGGTATGAAATGATAACAAATGAACGTTTTGGAAGAAACGTAATGTATTCACACATAACACAAGATATATCTAAGTAATACATTTTGATTACTTTCTTTGTGTGTTTGTTTAATGTAGGATACTCCCAGCAAGAAGAGAGGAATGTCTCTTGAGCCAGCTGTCTTTGTATGCATAACATTGCTGGGGCATGCTGTTAAATTGATGATTAGGTCTGATGTGCGAGACTTGCTGGAGCCAATGTTGGCCACAGGACTCAGTCCAGCATTGACTACTGCGCTGAGAGAACTGGCATTCAGTGTACCACAGCTGAAGAAAGAAATATCTGAAGGTAGCATGATGTGTATTGAAAGGATTTGTAAAAAGTGAAATATTTATTATGTGGAGAGTGTGTTTTTAGACCTGGTCATTCTCAACAGACTGTGCAGTGAATTTGTTCAAATTTACCAATAATAAGGATTGCAGGATGTGTGTAGGTTATAAGAGAGCCTTAATTACAGTGTGTCACCATCCTTCCTATGATGTAGCTGCAGCCACTGTCATGCACTTCTTGCCATCTGACTTCTCACATGCAACCCAAAAGCCAGGTCTAAAAACATGTGATGTACTTAAAACGGGCAGACCTACGGCTCTAGAAAACTGTGTCTCCTTTACAAAAGTTCTCATTCTTCTCTAATATTTACCATCTTCCTCACTGTCCTCATTTTAATTTCTTGTAAATTCTCTTTATCTTCTGGTCTTCTTGGTACGGTCTGTCTGACTTTTATTTTTTCATCTCACTTTAAAAATTTTTCTTAGCCACTTTTTTTTCGTTCAATTCTAATCGCATGCTGCAGGCATCCAAATGAAGAATGTAAATGGTATATACAGAAACAGCATGGCAAATGAGGCCTGGCATATATCAGGCAATAATTCCAGAAGTCCAGGTTCGCTCCCAGTGTATTTCCTGAGGGATTTTTGGTGGACAAAGTGACAGTGGGGCACAGTTTTTCCAAGCATACCAGTTTTCATTACTTCAGTGCTCCATACTCAGATGTCATCAGAGGCTGAAATACTAAGGAACTTACTCTCATGCCACTCCTACAAAAGAAAATTGTGGTCAGGGAAAGCATAATTGAAGACATTCAACTCCTTTGTCAGAAATTTCCAATATGTTTTCCTGTGTTAGAGAGATCACAGCAGAATATGTCTGATGTGGCACAAGGTTTAGCATTTGCTCCTGTAGTTCTTATAATATAGGATACTGTTCAAAACTTGAAGTCTCAGCATTTAAGGTCTGTTTAACACATTTGGCGCTGAAGCAAAATAGCCAGGATTGAGGGACAGTTAAGAATTTTGTATCTGAGTCTGAATGTATTACTGATTTTGGGCAGTACTTTAAGAAACACATTCTGCACACTGTTGCAGATTAAAAGTGATAATTAATCTCAATTTGTGTTAATTTTAATGGAGTTATGGCTAAATATTTCAGTGCAGTGGTTTCTGCTTCAGAATTAGAAGGTGCCCAAGTCTGTGCTTAACTCATGGATATATTTGTGGTTTCACTCATTTTGTATAGCAAACATCCTTCTGAACTCACCATTTATAATTATGTAAATTTTTATTAATTTCTATAACGTGACTTGGCACACAGCCTTGTTAAGTAAGCCAAAACGGCATTTCTTTGATTTTCTTTGCAGTTCTTTTCTTCAAATCAGTTATGTATGGTTATGCAGTTTGTGCTTTACATGGCACTCCATTGTTTGGTCATCTGTATAACACTATTTCGCAGGTTTGCTAAGAATGCTGTCACATGTTCTGATGCATAAGCCGTTACGCCATCCTGGTATGCCACGCCACCTGGTACCACCCTCTGCCAGTTCAGCTGTGACATCGTTGTCTTCACATGGGCTTGGACAGGAATCACAGGATGTCCCCAGCATTGTGTTGGCATTGAGGACATTAGGAAGCTTCAATTTTGATGGTAATGCTACACAGAATAAATAGTTTTGAATCCTGAACAGATTCATACATAGGTACCCAGATTCCAGACTCTGTGCAAGCTTCATGCATTGCACTATGATGAATTCTTCAAAATTACATTGCATAGAATTCAAATAGCAGATTTTGTTGATACATTTCTTGCTTTGTCTGTAGGCATTTAAATCATTAACTCTCTTTTGTCAAAGAGTTTTAACTGCAATTAAAAAAATTCATTACTTCATATATAGTTGAGTACACATCCTGGAAATAAGACTTATTTATATTTTATAAATGTCATCCTTTTTTATATACTAATTAATTAGAAATTGAAAGAAATTTGGTGTTAAAGCTATCAGTATATACGTGTTCTGACAATAAAGTTAGTGAACTCATCGCAATAAAGGTGCTACATACCTCATTGCTGAATATCACTGTGGTTGTCTTCAAAGTACTCCCCTTGGGAAGCTGTGCACCGATGCCAGCAACTAGTCCACCCTTCAAAACAATTTGGAACTGGTTTTGTGGAATGGCCTTCAGAGCTGCCATTATATTACTCCTGATGTCATCAAATTCAATATTTCCTTTATCTTTGGGAACATAAGAAAGTCATTGGGGTGAATAGGGAGGGTGTTCCAGCACATTTATTTGTTTACTAACTAAAAACTCCCTCACAGAAAGTGCTGTGTGAGCAGGGCCTTTGGGACCATTTTTGCACACACCTTCCTCATGTCATGATCTTCAGTTAAAATTTTCCTGCTTCTCTCTCATTGTTTGCTTGCTCTGCTATGCTCCTGACAGTCAGTTGACGATTTTCACGGGCAATTTGACAAAATTTTGCAGTGTTCCCCCCCCAGTACTGTTCATTGCTCTCTGTCCTGATCTCTCTTCATCACTGTCATTTTTCTCTTCCCTCAGAAAAATGTGTCATCCACTTATAAACTCCTATTTTCCTCATAGCATTATCCCTCTAAATTTACACTAACATCTCTTTGATTTTGCTTCCACTCTTGCCAAATTTCACAAAAACCTCTAACATTCTCACTACAGCACACCAAAACACACTCAGACAGTAATAGATGACACTCAGAAAAAGACTGCCATAGATCAACAACAACACAGCTGTGATACACTGATATTCCAAGATCATCAAACCGTACTGAGGTTTCTATCAATTTATGTCATGGCAACCACATGGTGGCAAGTTCACAAACTTTATTGTCAGACCACATAAATGGGAATGTCTTGCATAAAGTTCTTGAAATGAGACCACTAAAAAGTGGGGCTTTCATTCCCAGATGCTGCATAAATTATTCCTTGTCTTCCATGTGTACATGGGTACATTCTGGTGGGAGGCCTAAGATACTTAATTTGTTTTGTAGGACATTCATTGCTGCAGTTTGTCCGTCGATGTGCTGATCATTTTTTGACGAGTGAACAACAGGAAGTGAGGTTGGAGGCAGTTCGAACTTGTAGTCGGTTACTAAGACTTGCCCTGCAAGGTTCTGCTAGTCGGCATTCAGACACTGTTACAACTACAGTTGCTGATGTTTTGGGGAAACTTCTTGTAGTTGGTATTACGGATACTGGTGAGGCTTTTGTATTATTTCACACATTATGAGCTGTGTTCATTAATTTTCCACTATTTACATCTAACTCGAGGAAAAACTTAAGTGGTGGAAATATAACAATGAGATTACTGACTTGTGAAGGAAAACCATAAATCAAGGAAGGAACATTATTGTAAGTGGAGGTAAGTTCACTGTATGTGGTCTTATGAACATTTACTTTAAACTGTTCCACCTGTGCATATGTTCATGGTTCTTTCTGTATCGTCTGAAGACAAAGGTGTACTAGGTGTGATTAGTTAGTTTTCAGACTGGTTGCAAGATGATGCTATTGTAGCTAGTACAGATCTCCTCTGCTAGGTTGGGGTAGAGTAGAATCTGCCAGTTCATCTGCCACTGATGTCAAAGTGCAGGTTGTTGTCATTCAGAAGTAAGCACTTATGAAGTGGGGTTGTATGTTGTACCTTCTGTGTTTTATGACTTTTGCCAGAAAATTTCATATTTCAAAGAACAGCACATTCACATTAATTTCAGTGATCCAAAGTTATTGACCTCAGAGATTTTTGCTGTTATTATTATTGTTTAATGTTTAAATTCACACCTACCCAAAAATCCTGAATTGTGATTTCACTTTAATATTTTCTGTATAAAATCTTAATTATTTGGTTTGGCAAAATTGTTTTGTGGATTGAGATTATGGCCTTTTGGCTTGTGACACCATGCACTTTACAGATAAAACTACAACCTGAATAACAGGAATAACAGGACTTACATTCTTTAGTTGTTTCACTATGTTGGAATAATATGTCTATAGGCTAATATTTGATGCTTTTGTTTATAGGTACAATAAAACACTATAACGGCCAGTTTCAGATAAATCTGGAGATCAGTGAACAGAATTATATAACAGTATTCTTATTTTTGGTGCTTTTGCTATTCATGAAGGCCTCCATAAGATTTTTTGTTGATTTAATTCTGTAATTTTTTTTTCCTATTACTAGATGCTGATGTTCGTTACTGTGTACTTGAATCACTGGATGACAGTTTTGATAGTCATCTGGCACAAGCAGAGAACCTCAGTGCACTCTTTGTGGCAATGAATGATGAAGTATTTGAAATCCGTGAGCTTGCCATCTGCACAATTGGTCGTCTGAGCTGCATGAACCCTGCTTATGTAATGCCATCTCTTCGGAAGACCCTTATACAGGTTAGATTTTCATTTCAGCAAGTCAGTAGTATAAATTAAGGTTATTGTTGTTATTGCTTATTGATCTTCATTAATTTATATTGTGACATGAAGGCTGAAAATCTGGAATAGTGGAATGTATAGATGTGGCCAGTCAGCAGCACGGTAAACACATGTCTGCAACAATGGATATGCCCCAACAACAGAAGGACTGCTGGAAGCAATGTTTTTATGCGGTCTGTGCTGATGTTATATAATGAGGACATCAGCCAAGTCTATACAGAGGGTGAAGACGGGAGAGTTACATGACTCAGTTGCGAGACAGTAAAAAAAAAAAGTCATGAGCCCTGTGGGACTCAGGAATCAAGAATGATTGTGCTGGCAAGGGCCAACAAGAATTTACTGGTCGGTCGGTGACCAGAAGCCTTAATGTTTGCAGTAGTGATTTGTAAAGTTTGTAAATTAGAACATTATAATGATTTGTAATTACAAGTTATAAGGATTCAGTAAATCCAACTATCAGTCCAAATTATACATCTAGTCCAGCCGTGTCGAACATGCAGCCTGCGGGCCGCATGCAGCCCCCATAGCCACAAAGTGCGGCCCCTCAACTTTTAGAGCTAATTGATATTAAAATCAATATTAAAATTTTAGTAGAAATATTTTTTTGTAAAGACAATTTTCCAACAGACCAGAAGACAAGAAGTCTCACGCAGATATAAATTAGCAGGCTGCAGGAAGTTAAGTGTTTTGCTATTTCTAACATAATTTCATGTGTAATCTCTCTTTTTACGTATTGAAAAGTTGTTTGCTACTTGTCAAAAATGGCATTCTCTTGCTTTTTAAAACTGTAAGATATGGGACACTAGGTAATTATATTGAAATTATTCCTAAATAATAAATAGAATTAAATTTCCTTGTATCAAAATCTAATGTATATTTCTATTTTGAAGTGCGGCCCTGGACTATTATTTATAGGGCTGAGGTGGCCCTCTGTACAAGTTGAGTTTGACATGCCTGATCTAGTCAATAACACATGACAGTATATTTATCCAGTGACTAAAATACCTTGCCACCTTAGACTACTAACTAATCAGTAATGAACATTCTCTGGGCTGAGATTAGAACAGTCATATGACAATTACAATATACAATATGATCATGTTTTTCTGAGCTATGTTCATCATACTGAACTACAGTTCCTAACAGAGTTGGAACACAGTGGGATAGGACGCAACAAGGAGCAAAGTGCGCGCATGTTGGATCACTTGGTAGTGAATGCTCCCCGGCTTATTCGCCCATATATGGAACCCATTCTGAAGGTTCTTGTGCCTAAGCTGAAGGAACAAGAGCCCAATCCATGTGTAGTGGTCAGCGTTCTCACTGCAATTGGAGACTTAGCAGAGGTTAGTTTTCCTGCCAGATTCTTACCATTTCTGTAATTAATAAAACATGTTGAATAGCCCTGTCTTCTGGGATAATGCTGTACAGCTTGGTGTGCTTTGCATTATATCCTGGTTGGCTGTCACTGGAGTACACAGTTTTATGTCCCAGATGATAGAAGTCTTCATTGTCACTGCTGTGGGAACCTTGGATACAACAATAAAACATATTATTCATAGTACAGGTTTTAATTAAAAACAATTATTGTGTTAAGTTTGATTTCTGTAGGAACTTGCTGTGTATGAAGAAGAAAAGATCAAGGAAATGTGTAATAGATACATCATTTTGTAATTGCTTATTTATGTATGTGTGAACAGTTTTATTTCAGTACGAACATTTCTTTACGTTGTATGGTGATTATGGAATGACTGAAGCTCTTAGTGTTAGTGAATAGTCCATTTTTTAGTGAATTAATCTAGGAATGGCTACCCTAACTATGGCTTTACTGTATAATATTATATACATTCATAGCAGTATCATTCATCATCTTATGTATACAATCCTTTGATATTGTTATATTCTTTCCCACTGCTTTTCTCTCCGTTTCAGGTCCGGTAGTTTGACATACTAAAAAGCTTTATAGTGCTGTTATGTTGCCTTTCAGTTATTTAAATTCGTAAAGTGAACACTGTGGGTACCATAGCAGTCAGTAATAGATAATGGTTCAACAAGAATGTTAATCATAAGATTGACATAATAATTGTTCATTGTCATTATTTCTGTGCGATTTATATTTAAGCAGAATCTGGGCAAAGACCAGGCACTTCCAGGCATTTTTTCTGGAAAAATAGAAAACTATATGTGAAAATAATTGTTGAAGGTTGTCAGTGTGAATTCCAACATACATATCTATCGATCATGCCTTTTTAATAAACATAATTTTCAGAAGAATAGGAAAATGGTCCATTTTTATACTATGAATTTAAATACAGTTCATGACAATTTTATCTGGAAGGTTAATGGTAATGAGATGCAGCAATGGATGGGAGAATTACTTGCCATCCTCCTGGAGATGTTAGGAGATGCTAGCTCTCCTGAAAAACGAGGAGTGGCTCTGTGGGCTTTGGGCCAGTTGGTGGGGTCAACAGGTCATGTGGTAAAACCCTACAATCAGTATCCCACATTACTGGATGTTCTCATCAACTTCTTGAAGACTGAACAGCAGCCTATTATCAGGTATAACTACTCACTGAAGAATTTTTTCATATGTGTTCATAAGCCGTCGTCATCATCCTCTTCCTCCTCCTCCTCCACCTCATCATCATCATCCTATAGTCAGGGTAAGTGGAGTTTTACCTTACTTGTGTCCCCACTTTGTCACTACTACTGAGGTGTGCAGAAGTCAGGAAGGTCAAATAGACCATAACTGGAAGTACTAGCCACAAATTCTGTTATTTTCATCACATTATTATTTTTTTTTTGGCTGTACTGCATGGATTTTGTTTCAACTCCATAGTAAAACTGAAATCTATTCTTTTGTATATCTCTTATGTTCCAGTCCTGTCTGACTAGGGCAGTAGTACTCCTGTTGATTCTAAAAATTACCACCAAACCACATAGAGCAGAGTCTGCCCATGGATATATATTCAGTAATTCTGATGAGTTTTATACCATGTTTCTTTTGCTTGGTTTTATAATGATAACTGGTTAATTCTGGTTACTAAATCTCACCTTGTTGTTCTGTATCATAATTCTATTATTTGACTTTTTCTTTCATTATCCTGCACTGAAAATCCTGAAATATTAGACCGGCGCAGTATGTCACTATTTCAAATGTTGACATTTTCTGTGTGAATGATGTACTAATTTACTTGGATGTATGTTTAGGCGTGAAACCATTCGAGTACTCGGACTACTTGGGGCATTAGATCCATATAAGCATAAGATGAATCTTGGACAAATTGACACCCAAGTGGATTCCACAGCCCTTCTGTCCATAACAGACAATAAGACTGAAGCAGAGGCAAGCCATGGTATGTCAATCTTTTATTTAGAAATACTTTGATAATAACCTGAGCATATATTTGCAATTTCTGCACCACAGTTTTTAATAATATGAGCCCTGGTGTAAAATGGAGCATTTATGGAAATGTAATACAGTATTTCAGTCATAAAACTTTTATGAATATATTGAAATATCATGTACTTCTGCTGAATTACTCAAATATTAAAACATACCATTTTAAATAATTTTGTTATTTTATCTGATAATGATACCAACAGGACCATACAATGGACAGTCATGGGCATGTTCTTGACTACTTCCTCTCCTGGCTTGTATGATAATTATTGTGGAAAAAATGTGGAAAGTTGTTTAAGGTTTGTATGATATAAGGCAAACTTGGGTCTTTAACTATGCAATGTGTTATGACATGACAGCTGAAAGCCAGAGTAGAGGACCTAGAAAAGGCATCCATTGTTAAGCAATGGCTGGTGAGCATGTTTCCATGGCAACCAAAACATGCTCCCACATCAGTAATACCTGGGCCATCACTGGGGAACAGCATGCTTAACACGTCACTCAACAGTGGAGAATTTTTGGAAGTGGCTTTTTTTATGTGGTTATGCCAAGACTGCATGGTGAAGAATGAGAAAAGTTAGCCAATCATGGGTTGGAAGTCATCAGTCATGAGTCATGTGTTGGAGGTCAGCAGTCAAGAGTCTTGAACTGCATTGTTAGGCGCCACTACCAAGCAACGACTAGTGAAGACATAGCAGATGGAGAAAAGCTGGTGTTTGCAGTAATGATTTTTAGAATCTGAAAGTGTTATAATTATTTGTAGTTATGTTGCAAGTGTTCATTAAATGTGATCATCAACCCAAATCCAATGTCTAGTCATTAACACATGACATCTGGTGTTAGAAGTCATGTCACAGTTTAATTCATCTTTATTGCTACTGGTACAAAACCATAATTTCATAAGATCATCTTCTGTGCATTGACCATATGTCAGCATATTAATTGAAAAGGGTTAGATTTTTTTCTTCATACTTCTGCTAATTAACTGTTGTTTCACCTCGGTAGATCTGACTACAAGTGAGATGTTGGTGAACATGAGTTCTTCAACATTAGAAGAGTATTATCCTGCAATAGCTATAGCAACTCTCATGAGAATCATCCGTGATCCAACCTTGTCTCAGCACCATACAATGGTTGTTCAGGTAATTAGAGTGGACATAGGCTTTACAAATGTATCAATTTATTATATGAGATACAGATTTTTCCCTCTAATTTTGCATTTGTGACATGGGGTCATTCCGGTGTAGAAAACCGAGAATAATGGCTGTGGGGATCCGTTGCACTGACCATGTGACACCCTCTATCCGCTAAAGTTGGCACTAACTTCGCTGACAAATGGCAGTCGCTCGGTCGGTATAGTTCACTTGCGGACTACAGGCCACGGAGTTTATTTTTTTGGCATGGGCTAATAATATACTCATAAAAGAGCAAAATACTGGATTAGAATAAATGTGAGCCACCCGTACTACAAAGGATTGATTGGTTTTGATAGATAGCATTGCAATTTGTTGCACGAACTGGCTGCTCTGTTTCATGTGTACTGACTGGCAGCACAGCATGCCCTCATCAGAGATGAGATTCTAAAAAGTATAAAAGCCTGATGGGATGGAATAAAGAATAAAAACATGAGAAAGAATATAAAGATAAGTTGAATGGAAAAGAAATTATTAAATAACAGAAAAAAGTATGTATTTTAAGAATGAAGGAAGGCAATCCCAAAGAAGGTTTTGAACATGAAACCAAAGAGAAATGCCCAAGAAGCAGACTAAGATAATATGGGAACAACAGGTTAAGTAGGATGTTACATAATAAAAACACAGGAAAGAGCTGCTCAGGGGCTTGTCTCTTTCCATTTCTCATAATGAAGGTCACTGTTGTTGTTTTTTTATCTCTTTTTGTTGTACCNCTTTTAAATGCTTTTTTCCTTCTATCTGATCTCACCAAATTTTATAGAATTAAAAAATTTCCCTTCATTATTGTTTGATGTGTCACTTGTTATGTTGGCAGGCTGTTACATTCATCTTCAAGTCCTTGGGCATAAAGTGTGTTCCATACATTTCCCATGTGATGCCAAGTTTCTTGAATGTGGTCCGAACAGCTGATGTCAATTTCAGGGAGTTCCTTTTCCAACAGTTGGCTGTCTTGATTGCTATTGTTAAGCAGCATATTCGTAATTACCTTGATGATATCTTCACACTTATAAAGGTAGGTTTGTTATTCTTATCAGAAGACTTATGTCTGTGGGTTATTTAATGATGTTTTCAGTAGTTAGATTGTATGACATTGAGTGGATGAGTGATAAATGAATGATGATTCAAGAAGGATTTGAAACAAAGTGGTCAGTTATTTTTTATTTGATTTTTATATTTTGTGCCCTGTTATGTATGATAAGTACTGGTACGGGAGCCACCATTGCCTGATAATGATATTATCCCATTATTTGCCTGAAGGGACCGAGGAAAACTACAAAAAAGAACCTTGTTCAGGATAACTGACCTCCCAGCTGAGATTCAGATTGAATTGGACAAAATTCTCCTTGTCTTGCATTGTCAAAAGTAATACAGACATGTTCCACCTTTAATGTAAGAGACCAAGTTTCACTCTTATACAGAAACACAGGTAAAATGTAGTGTTGTATATTCTAATTTTTATGTTTTTAGACAGCAGATGAGAAAACAAAAGGTTTTGGACTGAATGGTAGCAAGTATTACCCATATTCAGTCTCCTTTTAATTTCCTAGTGAATCAAATTCTGATTTGTTACTCTTGTTCCAAAATATTTTAACTGTGCCACATTTTCAAAGAATCTGATAGCTGTCTTTATATCATGACTGCCCTGCCTTCTGGTTGCAAAACAGAAACACATTTTGTTTTCTCTGCATTTACTTCTAGACCAACCCCCTTATTAGCATCAGTTAAAGTTTCTGTATTCTTTGTCGTATGTATGTTACCTCCCAGTAGATTCACATCATCAGCATAGACCAGCAGGTGATATGACCCATTTAATTTCATTCCCACCTGGTTTTCATGGACCTTCCTAATTGCATATTCTAAAGCAAAGTTGAAAAGTGATGGCATTAAAACATCTCCTTGTTTTAAATCATTTTGAATAGGAAAATTATCAGACAGATGTTTACCTATATGGTCTTTACTGTACATTTTATTTAAACACATTTTAATGAGCTTAACTAGTTCCATGGGTACCCCAAACTCTATGAGAATGTTGTACTATACTTACCTCCTAACCGAATCATAGGCTTTCCTGAAATCTGTGAAAAGCTCATATACTGTCTCATTGTACTCCCATTTTTTCTCCAGTATCTGTCAAATGCAAAAAATCTCATCAGCAGTTGATCTGTTACATCGAAACCTACACTGATGATCCCCGATAATTTCATCTGTATATGGACTTAACCTTGAGGGATGGATATTGGATAAAATTTTGTATAAAGTTGATAGCAGTGATATCCCCTGATAATTACTGCAGTCAGTTTTATTGCCCATCTTGTGAACGGGTACAATAATTATTATAAAAAATTGCCTGATCAGTGGAAGGAGTCTGTTATAATAGACTCCTTCCACTGATCAGGCAATTTTTCCTTTTGCCAAATAGAAGTAATTAGCTTATGGATCTTAGAACGTAATATTTCACCTCCTGCTTGAATAAGTTCTGCCAGAATTTGATCACTACCTGGTGATTCATACCGTTTCAATTTTGCAATAGCACTTTCAGCCTTAGAAGGGCTAGGGTCAGGTACTAACAGCTCTGCTGTATGTACGTATTTCTGTCTGGCTAACATCACTGACCCTATGTACATTCAATAACTGAGAGAAGTAGTTCTTCCACCTATTCAAAATGTTGTGGGAATCTGCAAGCTGATCACCGTTCTCATCCTTCACTAAGTTACTGCTAGGCTGGTAACCCCTTTTAAAGTAATTTATTCCTCTATACAGGTCTCTAATATTCTTGTTCTTACTGTTCATTGCAAGCTCATCAATTTTGTCTTTCAGATATTCCCTCTTTTTGTTCCTGAAATGCCTGCTGGTTTCACATCTTATATTGTTCAGATAATCACATTTTATTTTGCCTTGATTCTGTCACCACTGCAATTCATCGTGTTTCCTTTCATCTAATAATTCTGAGCATCCTTTGTCGAACCATGGCTTATGCTTCTTCAGTTCATAATAACCTAGACTCTCTTGGCAGAAATTTTTATATTCTCTCTAATAATTTGCCACGCTCTATTAATATCCACCTCAGTGTCTTAAGTTTTCCAAAACTGTGAACCTATTTGAGATTTCAACATGATACTGCTCTTTTCCCTCTATCTTGTTTAATTTCTTGAGATGGAACCTCTCCCTATAAACTCTGTGCATTGTTTGTTTATTCACTGACTGTTTTTCCCTAACTTTTGCCACCACCATGTAGTGGTGAGTATCAGAATATGCTGGCCTGCACAATCAGACATCAAGTACACTTGAATGCTGTCTCCTATCTATCAAAGTATCTTTCCTTCAGGAGATGTTCCAGTAAATTTATGAATGTTACAATGTGAGAATGTTGTACTTTTGACAGATTTTGGATGTGGCAAAGTTTACTACTCTAACTCCATTTTCATTAGTAATTTCATGTGAACTCTCATTCCAAATTGTAAGATTGAAGATGTCTTCACTACCTACTTTGGCATTGAAATCTCCTAACAAAATTTTAGTATTTTAATTAGGGAATTTATTGAATACACGTTCTAGTTCCTCATAGAAGCTGTTCTTCACATCCTCAGTTCTATCCTCTGTCAGGCATGAACATTCAGAACAATGGTACCACTCCAGCAACCTCGTAGTTTTACATGCTATCACTAACAAACTCTACCCTCTTAACTGCTGATATGATTCTCTTATGTACAAGAAAACCTGTACCTATTCATGATTCCCATTCTACTGTCCCTAGAAAAACATATATTCACCTGCTGGTTTGGTGCCACCTTTGTCCCGTCTGACCTCTTGTACTCCACTGAATCCAACTTATATTTTGGTATTTCTTTCACAATTGTCATGAGGGAACCTGCTTTACACAGATTTATTGCATTCTGTGTACCAAATCTGTATCCATTTTCCCTAGATTGGGCTGTTTATCCAAAGAATCCATTCAACATTGAGGCCCTTTTTGACATTTTGTAACAAGTTTATTTTTTACGGTGAGGAGTTGTTAGCCCCACGTCCAACACCCAAGTTGGAGACCACCAAGGGGACCACCCCTTGTTGGCCGTCTGTGACTAGTTATTTATTATATTCACAGCTACCCTCCACTCCTGGAGGTCGACGTCTCTGTTTACAACCTGCGGACATACTATGCTCTAGTGATGCAGGACCCACCTAACAAGGACAGTTTAGTAAATACATTATTTTTTTGTGAATTGCAGTGAAGTACCAAGCTAATATAAGATTATTTTTATATGTGAAAATATTGTGATTGGCGATTATTTTGCAGGAATTCTGGACAATTAACAGCCCGTTGCAGAGCACTCTAATTCTTTTGGTGGAGCACATTGCTGTTGCTCTTGGGGCTGAGTTCAAGATTTACCTCCCCCAGCTCATGCCTCAGATCTTGCGAGTTCTCATGCATGACACCAGCAAGGATCGGGCTGTTACCATTAAGGTGAGGGGACAGATGGGTGCCATGTGCATGCATTTTGTTCTGCATGGAGGAGATGAATGTGTACCTATCTCATTTATGCTGTCCAGACTGCTTTTGTTTTTTCAGCTTAGTTTCTCTGTCATTTCCTAATATGGAGCATGCATACTTATTCTGAGATAATGATGATATAGATTGAAAGAGTTTTGGAACAGGGCTGAAAAGAATATTTGTATGTGAGAGATGAAGAAACAAAGGATGGAGAACTACATGATAAAGACCTTCACAATTTAAACTCTTCACTTTATTTTCTGATGGTGACTGAATCAAGAAGGTTGTGTAGTTCAAGGCAGGTAGCGCTTATGGAGGAAACAAGAAATGAAAAGAACATTTTTGTTTGAAACTTCAAGGGAATAAGCAACTTTGAAAACTGTGGTATTAATGGAAATTAAAATGGATCCTGTATAAGTTGGTTGTATGGTTATGAAATGGATTGAAATGGCTCAGATTGAGTTCAGTTACAGTTATTTTCAAGCAGTTATAAGTACTTAAATAAAGACAGTGTAAAACAGCCTTTTAATATATGTAGCTTACAAAATTTATCCCCTGCAGTTGTATGCATTTACCATAACAGGTACAAGGAGGATCAGTTCCAGTGCTTAGGCATGGCTCCATTCATCTGTCAAACATCTGTATGAGACAGAAGCACCAGTTACTCATGTAACAGTGTGCTCTGTAATCCGTGAAAGAACAGTGAGGTATTTACCTTGCCATACCATGATGATTCATTATGAAATATGGAATAGAAAGTTCAGATTTTTATCTTTGAGTCATGCTAGACATTTATACAATATCTTAAAAATGAATCAAACAATTGATGCCTGGTTTAGCAGTGTTGCCAATATTTTGATTATGCAGGATGATAATATGTATTTGGGCTGCCAGACTGAGGGCATTTTACATTGCTGAGTGTTAGAGTACTATGCCATAAAGGCTTGTGGGAGATCTGGAACTAAGCTTCCATGCATTCACACCATGGAGACTGCCTGTGCTCATCGGGGAAAGGGCTCTAGATTTAGCATTGAATTGGAGGCTAGGTTTGCCTAAGGGATGTTCTAGACTTGGTAGAGAAGAGATAAAGTTTGACTGGCTGCTTGCCATGGACTATGACCATCATGTAAATTACTCATCATTATACCAGACAAGATCTAAAAGATTGTGATGATGGATAGTGTTGAAAAATATATTATTTGTGTTATACCAGACAGATTATTAAGAAGGTAATGTGAAGTTGTCCACGCACATAACTAATTAAGCCATGAAGACATGTGGAGAAGTGGATTTGTTAGAAATGTAAAAAGTTATTTAGCAGGGAATTTTCTTTGTTTCTGTGACATGACATATCCTGAGGTTACAGATGAAGGAGGTGCTGTATAGTTGTGAATCCGTTGGGTAAGCAGTCACAGGCAGCTGATAAGTGGTGGATCTGCAGTTTGGATGTTGGATGTATATCTTGCAATCCCTCACCATAAGGGTACCAGTTATGTTGTGAATTGTCACAATGGTCCTCAGATTTGAGCAGACTGGGAAAAATAAATGCATGCAGAATTTAATTTAGAATCCCTGCATGTGTTAACTATACTTAATAATATTTCAAATGGACCTTAAATAAAGAGGATGTGAAGAAATCTGTTGTCTCCGGGTAGGATATAGTGGCATTTTCTGAAACTTCAGGTTCAGTAAAAGTAAGGAAATTGTTGACTATTTAACTTCCAGATTTTCAAGAAAGGTCCTATAGCAGCAGTATTGCCTTTTGTTTTTAGATGGTACAGGGACAAAAGAACTGCACCTTAGATTCAGACAATACTGTATTATTGCTGAGCATAGTAAATTTCCACGGTGTGTTTAGAAATTTAAGGTGATTAGCTCATGTGTGAGATTATGCCTGTAGATATGGAAGAATATTTATTCATTTGATAGGGCAGTAGGACAAAACTATACCTTATGTTCAGATAAACTAGGTACATTCATGTATCTGTTTAGCTAAAGCAGGCAGCTACTGGGGCCTGGATGAGACCTGTTTGCCTGTATGTATTGTGACATCTCCACTCAAAACCAGTATTGTGGAGCCAGAAGAGACAGCCATTGCTAGGGAACAGCTTGATAAATACACTTATGTGGCAATGAATACACAAACACAACAGTGGAAGAACTGTTTCAGGTGGTGTATTCTATTCTGTCCATGTAGAGGCTATATAAGGATAGCCAATTGGAGCTATGAGATAGGTAAGTTCTGAGTCAGAAGCAAGTGCTGGCCTACGATAGTGAGTGGTAGCCAGTGGTGGCCAGGAGTTGTGGCAATGAGGAGCTATGAGACAGTCAGCAGCTGGTAAGGATGTGAACCCTGAAGCTGAGGAATCTACAGTGTTGGGAGCTGTTACTAAGCTACAACTGGTAAAGACAGCACACTGAGAAGACTTAGTGTGTGCTGTAGTGAAATGTAGAGGGTGTGAATTCACCACAGCGCTATAAGTATTTGTGGTTATGGTTTGTAAGAGGCCAGTAAATTCAATTACCAATACAAATCCCATGTCTAATCACTAAACACATGACAGTTTGAAAGAATATTTATGTAAGAGTACAGGAGGAGAGGGGTTAGTTTTGTCACTGTAGTGGCTAGGCTATGGGCTGGATGACAAAGGAATTGGGGTTCAATTCCTAGCAGGTTCAACAGTTTTTGTCTTCATAGCATCCAGACTGGGGCCCCCAGCCTCAAATTTAGTGGATATCAGGGGCCTTTTCACTGGGGGTGAAGCAGCCAGGGCGTGAATCAGGATGGTGACTTACATTTAGTGTGGTAAAGATGAAGTTGTCCATGTGCTTAATAAATTAAGTGCCATGCTTTGATAATGTGCAAGGGAATGGAAGCATAGCTCCATCATTCTTGACCTCATCATTAGATGGAGGTGAGTGGTGAGCTTCATGCCCTGGCCACTTTACCTTCAGTGAAAAAGCCCTTGGTGCCCATTGGATAGGAGGCTGAGTGGGCCCCAGAGCCAGTCTGCACACTGTGGAGAAGAGAAAAACCTCTTGCCCTTGCTAGGAATCAACCCCTGGCTATCCAGACTCCTTCCATTTAATAATAAGGTTAAAAATGTGTGGCTGTATACTTTCATCCCTGCATATGACTATATGGCATTTTGCTTAGTTAAGCACAGGGACAGCTTAAGAGTACGGGACCAGATACAGTTCCTTATGAAACTTATTTCTTGCAGCTGCTGTTGGCACTACAGAAATTTGGCAACAATCTTGACGACTACTTGCACTTGGTGCTTCCTCCCATTGTACGTCTCTTCGATGCAGCTGACTGTCCACTGCCTGTATGCCGTGTTGCTCTTGAGACAGTGGACCATCTGGCTGATACTTTAGATTTCACTGACTTTGCGTCACGTATTGTTCATCCACTTGTTCGCACATTGGACTCCTGCCCAGAGCTACGCCCTCCTGCCATGGAAACTCTTTGTGCTCTTGTTGTCCAACTCGGTCGCAAGTACCAGATCTTCATTCCACTAGTTCAAAGAGTCATTGCAAAACACAAGATAAATTGCCAACGATATGAAATAGTGACTTGCAAGATTGTTACGGTAAGTTCAGTTCTTTATGGAGTTATGGTATCTTAAGGTCTGAATGTGATGTTCAGTCTTTGAAATGATGTCACTGTTTAGGTCCAGTCAGGGGATTGAGACTGAAACCTCTGTACTTGCTAAGTTATTTTATGTAAAAATTATACTTAAATCGTTTTGTGCAAAAGTCAGAATTGTATTGGGGTGAAAACAGAGATTCTGATCAATGTATGGGAAAACCATGTCAGGTGCCAAAGAGGCAACCTGTACTGAGCAGTTGGTGGTTAGTTATTTTGGATTTGAGAGCCATACATATAATTCTGTAATCTGAAAATGTTAAGTAGTTAAAGCTATATTCTGGGTGATTTAGGATACAACAATAGCTGAAGAAGAGGACTACATGTTGATGAGGCACAGATTGTCCCGACACAAGAACAGAGATATTGCTTTAACTTCTTCTGATACAACTACAATCAAGAGGGTGAGTTTGACATTTATATGCAACTGCAACTTATTTGGTTCATAAGCGGCCTCCGTAGTCTAGGCGTAATGTTCCCACCTCATGACTCAAGGTACATGGGTTCAAACCCGGTGGAGGTCATGGAATTTTTAAGGGTGGAAAAATTCAGGGAACAAGTCCTCTGGGAGGGACTTTAAGCCGTGAGTCCCGTGTCGTAGATTTACGGCACGTAAAAGATCCTCATGTCTCTAGGAGACCTCTGAGCAAAATTAGGCAAGAAGTTTCCCACCCAAGTAGTTTCCAATGCCTCCGGTAGATGGGGAAGTTATCAGGTACCACTGCCAGAAGAGGGCCGATCTTGCTGGCAGAAAGGGGAGATAGCGAGCACCAGTACCGGTAGGTTATGGCAACAGTAGAAATTAAAGGGGGACGTACAATAGACTACTAGTCATGGTGCATGGGGAAACCCACCCCCTCTAATACTGAATAACTGAACTGAATATTTGGTTCATATGGGAAACATTGCTTGTGGCAGGGATGAACAAACTTGGTACAACAGATGGTCCATGAAAAACATTTATTTTTTGGTTTGTTATGATGCTGTATCAACAACAAAAGTTGTATAACATTGAATGAATAGTGAACTAGGAAGGATGTGAAAGGGCCTATTGTGGCATGTTTTAAGGAACTGTCCTAGAGTATGTCTGGCTGGACTGTGTTAAATGGAAACATCACTGAAGAAACCTTCCTACCTAGTTGTGATTGAGAAGCTCCTGATTGTGAAGCAGGTGGGCTGACCCCTAGTTAGTGATATTGTTTTAAGAAACTTCCAAAATAGATCTTGTGGGACTGGAGGAAAACAGGACATTTTTAGGTAGAAGAGTGAGTCCACTCATTGAGGTCCCAACTGAGATTATTATGAACAAGATGGATTAAGTATTTTTCTTCCTCTATGACGTTCAGTTATGAGAGACATTGCAGTTTTATGCTTTGTATTTTAAGTTATCAGTTTTACATATGGAATTGCTTCAGATTTTTTTTTTTTTTTTGTATTGTGGCTTTCCTTAATAGTATTACTGGAACTTTGTTCTGTTAAAGTCAAAATTACCTGAAAGGTGGACTGAATTCCACAGACTGTATCTCACATACATGTGTTATAAGGTTTACCAGAATGCTGTTTCATGTCTGTCATGTTGAAACTGTTTCAGTATATATTACATTTTGTAAGGAGACATAATATATGAGAAGAATAAACGTATTCATAATTAAAATCAATGAAAGATAATGTATTAAAATTTTCACCATGCATAGGTTTTCTTTTACAGTTACATGTCTCACCAGCAAACCTTCAGAGGGCATGGACAGCAACAAGAAGAGTTTCCAAAGATGACTGGCTTGAATGGCTGCGAAGACTTAGTATTGAATTGCTGAAAGAATCACCGTCACCAGCTCTGAGGTACCACTAGTCTTTCAGATCACGTTATAATAAAAGTCAGTAACAACAGATGTGCGATTAAAATTTTTTAATTTGAAGTTCAAAGGCTTGTCTGTAATAAAGTGTAATAAAAGTCACAGAATATTATCTTCTGGGTTATAATACATAGGTAAGTCAATAAGTAAGTTACAAATGGATATAGAACTTAAACAAATAAGAATGCTGATTTGAAAAATGCTTTTATTTCTCAGCATAATCTCCCTGTACAATGAGGCCCTTGTCCCATCATTTCAGAAACCCCTGAAAACCGGTAGCATAAAATTCTTTGGGCTGCTGTCGGAACCAGGCAGCGACTTCCCTTTACAGGGAACATCCTCAGGAAACTTCATAAGGCCATTCAACGGAAGCGACCAGGATTCCTCACCGAAGGCATTGCTCTTGCATGAGAATGCACATCTCCATACTGCCAACAGGACAAATGAGACACTGCGAAATTTCAAGTGAGAAGTCCTCGAGCATCCTCCATATAGCCCTGACCTTGCTCCAAGCTACTTCAATTTGTTGGGCCCTCTTAAACAACGTCTTTCGGCTGAAAATTTTCCTGACTGTGAAGCTGTAGAGAAGGAAGTCACTGCCCGGTTCCGACAGCAGCGCAAAGAATTTTATGCTGCTGGTTTTCAGGGGCTTGTGAAATGATGAGACAAGTGCCTCGATGTACAGGGAGATTATGTTGAGAAATAAAAGCATTTTTCAAATCAGTACTCTTATTTGTTTAAGTTCTGTATCCATTTTTAACTTACTTATTGACTTACCCTTGTACCTTGTAGTCTAGTAGAAATCCAGCATTGTTCCTTCAAACATCAATGGGCTTCTACCGGACTCTGTTGTGTTACATCCAAGAAAATAGTTCTGTTTGTAGCCACTGTTGTGAGAACCTCAAATTCGACAGCAGAACTTTTTAACAGAAGTCATGGTCCCAGAAACACAACTTGAATCGGGAACTAAGTTAAAAAAATCTGCTTACCTGTAATGTTTACCTTATGTCCCATATGGATATTTCAATTTTTGCTGCTGATCTCCCTCGACTTGCTTCTGACGAGGGGGCAGGTATATTTTGGTAGCATTAATACATGTTGAAGCCCATCACAGTGGTCGTGTGGTCTGAGGCATGAACTGTCTTAGCCTGCTTCAACACTGGAATTGTGGGTTTGACTCCCTCTTGAGGCATGGATATCTGTTTGTATTTATTCTGCATTTATGTTGCCTGTGTTAAGCTAGTGCCCTTGTGATGGGCTGATTCCCCGTCCAGGGAATCCTACTGACTGTAAAAAGATCAAGAAACTGAAAAAGCAGCCAAGGTCCAACAAAGGGCTGTAGAGCAATAGATAGATGGCTGGATGGATTGATGGGCAGACGGACACTCGGATGGAATACAGGTTGAAGAATGATCAATGCAGATGTAAAGATTTTCCGCTTTCAGACATTGTGTGCCCATAAAGTTACAATGTGTGCTGTGTCTGTCCATCCATTCTGTAGATTGTGTATGTCTGTTTACCTTCACATAACTCATATATACAGATGTTTCACGACTTTAGGGCATAACTGCAGGAGGTGATTTCCTAGGTCTTTGTGATCTAAAAAGTTCATATAAACATGTGTCCGATTTTGGACGGTTATGGAATTATGACCGTTTTTTCATTCCCGTATATGCCCTCGTGTGAACCGCGTCTTATCATCTGGCGGGTCGCTATTTTTAGCCAGCTACAGACAGTGTTCTCGTTATCTCAACACTTGAGAGGTACCTAAGGTGTGGTGGGTTGGTATGTCCGGCCACGACTAATGTGGCAGCTACTGGTGTCCAGAACAGTTCTCGTCTTGGTACGTCTGTTACATTCACGATGCCATTTACATTTTCATTTGAGGAGTACGCAGATATGATTTATGTGTATGGGTTTTGTGACGGTAACTCAGTTCTTGCCATAGCTGAATATCAGCAGTGATTTCCGAAACATAGAATACCGAACCAGAGAGTGTTTACGGGAGTTTACCAGGCATTGCGAGATACCGGTAGAATTCCTGGAGTTCATATTGCAGCCAAGCGTGGTGTTTATGAAGTCGTCAGTGAAGAAGTCATTGTTCGTATGGTACACCGCAGTCCACGTACGAATACGCGAAGAATTGCCAGCCAGGTCTCCAGACTTAAGCCCACTGGATTATTGTGTGTGGGGATGGATGAAAGAACTGGTTTACAATGTGAAGATGGCAATGCGAGATGCTTTGCTTGGTTGCATTCTGGACACAGCTGACCACTTAAGAAACAGCCAGCTGAAGCTGGTACTTGCTACCCGCACGGTTCACAACTGAGCGGCGGCAGCCTGTGTTGCGGCGAGCAGTGGTATTTTCGAAAATCAGCTTTAAGCACCAATCAATTCAAATTAAAGGTAATTTCACGAAGTTAACTTTACATTCATACTTTAAATGTATCATGTATTATGCTGGTTTATTATTTTGTTCCATTTATTGTCAGTAATCGTTACCTTCTATTCTGAGTTTAAAATGGTCATAATTCCATAACCGTCCAAAATCGGACACATGTTTACGAGTATATAAACTTTTTTTGATCACAAAGACCTAGGAAATCACCTCCTGCAGATATGCCCTAAAGTCGTGAAACACCATGTATATATATGTTTTATATGACTTGTGTGTGTATATTTCTTAATAAATTATATTCAAATTGAGTCTTTGGATTCTGTCGTCTAGTTGTGACTGGCATTCAATGATCTGTATTCATTTTTATATTTGTCTTATTGAAGTAACATTACATTGAAAAATATTTCAGATAGTTTCTTAATTAAATAAAATTTCATTACATATATAATATTTCATCATATGATTCACAAGCTTCTTTTTCCAAAACTTCATTATCAGAAGCATGGTTCAGCGCCATGTGGCGTTGGTACTGACAGCATTGTTAAATAACCAACTTAAAAAAATTTAAAAGAATTGTTTGTATCAGTCAAATATAAACCTGCTCTATATGAAGCTCAAATTAAAATTCCATCCGCATTCTTCAGAAATACGCATCATACAACCTATAGTTGAAGCAATTGTCAAAATAATGAATTGGAAAAAAGTTTCTGACTCTACGTGTTGTAAGAACACATTTGTTTCTTCAAAATAATGGAACTGGCATTCTTTCATTTGTTTTTCTTGCTGTTGCTGAAGAAAATGTTTAGTGACATATTTAAATGCTCTTTGATTCTGATAATTTAAGACACTTTTACACAGAAGATGAGGAAAGTTTGTGTGTTTCAGTACATATAGTATTCATTTAGGATTTGAGTGGTAATAAATTTAGGATCCAAAAAGTAAATAAATAAGATTGTAGAAATAGAGGAGTTCACCATATTTGAGAGAGATATCCTGTACAAGATGTGAGATCACACATTTAATTATATGAAAGTGAAAGAAAGAAATTTTAATTGTTTATATGCATCAGTAATAAATGAATATCAGTGTCAGTGAAGTACAGAAAATACATATTCTCCAACGTTTCCAGGCTTGTTTGATGTGTTTACTATCCCAAATACTGAATTTATATTTCATGGATTTTAAAGCTGTCCCCCATAAATGGGTTTCAGGTCATGTTGGGCTCTAGCACAGACATACTCACAGCTACCTCGGGATCTCTTCAACGCTGCGTTTGTTTCCTGTTGGACTGAACTCAGTGAGTCATTGCAGAATGAGTTAATCCAAAGCTTGGAGCAGGCACTGATGGTTCCAGATCTACCAGAAATCACACAGACAATCCTGAACTTGGCTGAGTTCATGGAACATTGTGACAAGGTGATGTAGAATATCCTTAAGCACTTTGCATGTAAGAATACATTGGAGTGGCTCAGGATAGCATTGAATTACGAGCTTTGTTCATGACAGAGTTTAATATTGGTTTCTGATGCCAGTGAAGGAGTGACTGGATTGGTTGCAGCATTTAATTATGAACCAACCAGCTGTGAGCTTATACCTTCTGCATGTCTTTGCTTATGCATCTCATAGATTGCTTGATTATCTATATTATAGGGCCCACTGCCTCTAGATCCTCAGTTGCTGGGTGAGAGAGCCATGCATTGTCGAGCCTATGCTAAGGCACTCCACTACAAGGAGGAGGAGTTCCATACGGGCCCCAACTCACAGGTGTTTGAAGCTCTGATATCCATTAACAATAAGCTGCAGCAGAAAGAGGCTGCTGCAGGTAAGCCATAACACTGTACTAAGTTTTAAATGATAGATAGAATGATTAAATAGCTTAATCTCTTCATACAGTAAAAGGTAAAGTTAAAGTTGTCCCTATGCATAATTAATTAAGCACCATACCATGAAGATATATGGGGAGTGGAGGTGTTCTTGACCTCAGCAGTAGGTGGAAGTGAGTTGTCACCTTCATGCTTTGGTCGCTTTACTCCAAGGGAGAAGCCCTCTACTAGACATTGTGTAAGAGGCTGGGTGGGTGCAAGAACTGGTCTGGGTGCTGTGGAGAGGAGAAAAATCTTGTGTCCCTGCTGGGTATTGAACCCCAATTCCTTGATCATTCAGCCTGTAGCCCACCACTATGCTAACTGAGCTATTTTGTCAGGATGGTGGTGAGTGTTCAGGTTCAATGGTAGTGAATAATTTCCTACTAACCATGGAGGAGCATTGGATTTACTGTTGTTTGTTGTCCATGTATGATCGAATAAGTTATAAATGAGAGGATGTAAAACTTACAGGAAGTTATGTGGAGCCAAGACAATGTCAGCCTTCTGAAAGGCTTGAAAGCTGCACCTGGTCCTTTATCATGGTGAAAAACGTGGAGGTTTCTAAACGAATCTACTACCAGTACTTATTCAAATTGTGAATTCTAAGAAACTGATGTGGTAAGTAACTTTTTCTTGCTTGTTTCCAAACTGAATCCAGGTTTGCTGGAGTACGTGATGAATCATCAAGGTTCAGACCTCAAAGTACAGGAACGTTGGTATGAGAAGCTACACAACTGGGAGAAGGCGCTTCATTCTTACCAGGAACGGCTGGAAGACAACTCTGAGGATGTGGACTTGGCTTTGGGACAGATGAGGTGCATGGAGGCGCTTGGAGAATGGTAAGGTCCACATTGTGACATATGAGGGGGCGGGGGGGGGAAGAATGGTGAAGAAGCAGTCATGGCCTACTTTCATATGTTCGGGTAAAAAGGCCAGATTTAATAACCTCTTTATTTAATCTAGAAGGAAAGAGCATATTATGTTGAAAAGTCACTCAGATATTACTTTTGGTTTAATTTAGTGACACTCGTAACAGCTTAGAATATATGATAAGTGAATAACAAAGTGACAAGATTTGAAAGAAACCAGTTACAGCCTAATAGGGTATTATTCTGCTATAATTTCCTGGAGGGACTGGGGAAAACTGAAAATCCTCACAGGATAGTTGGTGACCCAGCTAAGATTTGAACTGGTCACCTCCCAAATACAAGTCTGTAGTGTTAACACTTGAGCCAGTCTTTTATTCACAACATATCAGTTTGAATGAAGAGACAGCAACAATGTGGAAATATGTTGTTGAGTGGAATACACATATCTTTCAAATGTGTTCTTTGGTGTTTTGCATACCTCATTTGGTCATAGAAATTGAACTTTATGAGAGCTGTATTTTATGATGTATAAAGATTGGGAGGCTCAGTAAAATCTGTTATAAGCTTCTTGAAAATTATTGATTTGTTGAATCGATATGAATCACAGTTAAATTTGCCCGCCAACTTTCAGTTCCAGCTCCTATCTGATTATTTTAAATCCTTTTGAGATCAAACATGCAGATGGACATAACCTCATTCATTCATTCATTCATTCATTCATCTGTAATCTGTTAAGACGACAGGTCCACAGTCTCTTCCAAAACAGTTCCTCCACTTAATGCGATCTAGAGCTTTCTCCTTCAAATGAAAATATCCTCTTCTGTCCCCAAGGTCATCCAGCATCTCCTTACGTCTTCTTCCTCGTCTTCTGGTCACTTCTATCTGCCTCTCCATCTTTCCTTCAATAACTTCTTTTAGAAGGCAAGTTACCTCATCACATATTTTTTTCTCTGTGTGTCACAGCAATGATTTTCTTACAGGGAACCCTATTTCTGCTTTATGAGATCACCTTCTTATCTCTCATCATTCCATTCACAGGGGTCAGCTGAATGATGTAGCCACAAAGCACTGGAATCACTTCAATGAAGAAGGACGTCAGAGGATGTCCCGAATGGCTTCAGCTGCAGCCTGGGGTTTGAATCAGTGGGATGCTATGGAGCAATATGTGAATTGTATTCCTCGTGACACTCAAGATGGGGCCTTCTACAGAGCTGTCCTCACAGTTCATAGGGGACAGTATATTGCTGCTCAGCAGGTTATTTTTGGGAGATTCCCCATTTTCAGAATGCTTTTATTAAAATCTTGCATATTGACGAGATTTGATGTTCATTTATTGCAGATACAAACCTAATGTTACAAGGCAAATTTCACTGCAGATATCACAGTGCATAGTCAAATGTTAATTTTCTTGCAATTTTGATGTACAGTAAACCCTTGCTGATGTGGAGTAATTGGGGGAGAGGTCATCAGGATTAAGCCATAATCCAGATTAGTGAAGCAAAAGGTAGCCCTAAAACACAAATAAGTGGAAAATTTAATGATATAAGTAGTGCTGATGAGAATAAATAAAAAAATATCACTGTAGAGGCTTTATTTAAAAACTTTTATTTATTGCTATTGGAGTGGGACTAAGTCCCTTGTACTGTGGCCACTTCTGGCCTATTGTACCAGCCCCAGATGATAGGTGAGAGTGATTGTGGAGCAATTGGTGGAATGAAGATTGGCAGGGGAAACCGAAGTACTTTGAGAAAACCTGCCCCAGCGCCACTTTGTCCACCACAAATCCAACTTGACCAGATCCAGGATCGAACCCGGGCTACCGCGGTGGAAAGCCAGCAACTAACCACTTGAGCTATGGCACGGCCTTTAAAAACCTTAAAAAAGACAGTACATTTATTTATCAAAAGAAGACTTGGCAGTTGTACTTGTTTTTGAACATGGTAATGTAGGTTTGATGAAACTGTCAAGTTTTGTCTGAACTGACAAGTGACTTATCTGCCTTCCTTGTAATGTCACGTGTCTTTTAAGTGTCTGCTCAACTGTGAACAGCATTTTTCACTTTTGTATTTTGATCCAGATTAACTGTAACTGGATTAGTGAGCGTTTATTGTATTTGTATATTCAGTCTGTTAAGTATTCTTTTCATGTAATGTGCCAATTTTATATGAATAATTTTTGAGAAAAGCTGTGAATTTTTTTTTTTTGGTTCATGTAAAACAGTGGTTACGTTGGACAGTATGAAGCAGTATTAAATTGTTCTGCTTGCTTCTGTTGTAGACCCAGCACCAAATGTTATGAAGATCTGTTGAGTATGTAGACACAGACATTTTTCCTTTCATGCATTGATTTTGTGCATTCTGCAGAAAGAGTGCATTAAAATGTATAAGGGAACCTAAATGTCACAATTCAGACTCTCTTAAGATATCAGTCTGTTTGGTAGTCGTTTGTAAAATACAAATCCATCAGATTACCATTCCTAACAAGTTTTCTTCATCATTGATGTTATTGTCCAGTAGATTGCAGATGATGACATCACATATAAATTTTGATTCTATGCTATGAGTATTATAAAGCAATTTATCAGTATCACAGTAAACAAGGCTGTACTTTGATAAATTAGATTTTATAAATTTGATTTCAAATGGATATTTTGTTTATTCTCTTGAGTGTAGTTAGAACAGGAATTAAGATGAATTTAATTCATTTTAAAGTTGTACTTTGATGTACAGGGTTTGTCCGAAAAGTAATGTCAGTGATTTCATTGTGAAGTGACTATACGTCGCAGCGCGCTTAGACCGGTTGGGATCGGTGGAGGGGGAAGTCACCTTATGAACGCGCGGTGGCTTAGTCGTCTCCGAACTTCGTGAGAGTGACGAAAGGCTTTTCCGTGAAACTCGTTTTTGTCTCCCGTGCAAGCCGCAATGCAGCGTTCCTTGGAACAAAGGATTGCCATCAAGTTTTGTGTGAAACTTGGCAAGTCTGCAGTGGAAACTTTTCCCATGATAAAGACGGCCTTCGGTGATGATTGTCTGTCGGAACGTCAGGTCTACCGGTGGCACAAGGTCTTTTTAGAAGGCCGTGAAGAGGTCGGCGATGAAGCCCGCGCTGGACGGCCATCAACAAGCACCACCGACGAAAATGTGACGCGTGTGAGAGAACTTTTGAACTCAGACCGTCGTTTGAGTGTTCGTTTAATGGCACAGACATTAAACATTCCAAAAAGTACCGTTCACGAGATTGTGACGAACAATCTGCAGATGCGAAAAGTGTGCGCAAAGCTGGTGCCCAAAGTGTTAACGGACGACCAAAAATCGCGCAGAGTTGAAACGTGCCAAGAACTTCTGGACTTGTGTGAAAGTGACCATCACTTTTTAGACAATGTCATCACAGGTGACGAGACTTGGGTGTTTGAGTACGACCCCGAAACAAAAAGGCAAAGTGCCGAGTGGCACACCTCGGCATCCCCTCGCCCCAAGAAGGCCAGAATGAGCAAGTCAAAGGTTAAGGTCATGCTCATTGTGTTCTTTGACATTAGGGGGCTGGTCCACCATGAGTTTGTACCACATGGTACAACCATCAACGCCAAATTCTACGTGGAAGTGCTAAAGAGACTCAAACGAAGGGTTTATCGCATCCGGCCCGACATCGCGGACGATTGGAAACTTCACCATGACAATGCGCCAGCCCACACCGCCTTCCTCGTGACCCACTTCCTGACCGATTCAAAGGTGCCAACGGTTCCCCAGCCGCCCTACAGTCCTGACGTGGCTCCCCCAGACTTCTTTTTGTTTCCGCGCTTGAAAACTCCTATGAAAGGACATCATTTTGGGACAGTTGACGAAGTCAAAGAGGCTTGCACCAAGGCTCTAAAGGACATTCCGGAGGAGGCCTACCATGACGCCTTCGATGCCTGGAAATCTCGCTGGAAGCGATGTATCGACGCAGAAGGAGCCTATTTTGAAGCCTTTTAATGTGTTGCACCGATCTAATCAATAAATGTTTTTTAATCGACTCACTGACATTACTTTTCGGACAAACCCTGTATACTATGCATTTTGCTTGCAGTAACTAAGATTTTGTCTGCAGCTCATCGACTCAGCGAGAGATCTCCTGGATACTGAGTTGACTGCAATGGCTGGAGAGAGTTATCAGAGAGCATATGGGGCTATGGTCTCTGTACAGATGCTGGCAGAATTGGAAGAAGTTGTCCAGTATAAATTAATACCAGAAAGAAGAGCAACCATTCGTAAAATGTGGTGGGATAGGTTACAGGTATTGATAGGATTATAGTCTTACATTACTGGCTTGGCAATGGTAGAAGAGAGAGTCTGGCATCTGTAAATGTATTTGATTGGAGTTTGGAGTGACACTGGTCATTTTCTTGGAGCCAGAACTTCATAATTTGCAATATTTTGTCTCAAACCCACATCATATATATATATATAATTAAGACTGCTAAATCAGTAAAATAATACCTTAGTATGCATAGTTTTTCTGATTTTCAACATATCTGTGTATAACTTTTTGTGCAGGGTTGCCAGCGTGTAGTTGAAGACTGGCAACGGATTATACAGGTCCACACCCTAGTAGTGTCTCCCCAGGAGGACATGTACACGTGGCTTAAGTATGCAGCACTCTGCAGGAAGTCTGGACGTCTGGTGAGTGACAGGAATGTACTCGCTCATATTATATCACTGATACAGTAGTATTAGGGTCGCCCAAAAGTAATGCAACAGTTTATTTTTTTCTCATTCAGAATTTATTTTATTAAAACTTCAAATATGTCAGATTGTTACCTGAATCTTTGGCTGCCTAAACATGTTTTTCAATGTAGTCTCCCTCTAAATCTATGGCCTTACACTGCCAAGATGCAAGAACCTGTATATCCTCATGGTACAACCCTGCAGGTCTCTATTGCTACCAGCTCTTTACTTTGAAAGTGGTCGCGGTGGCAGCAGTGGAGGAAGTCGTTTCCAAAGCATAGAGCAGGTGGTGAAAGTTCTGAAATGGTACCTTCTTGGCATGTTATGCAGATGTTGTCCCACAAGACATTAGTAATGCTGCTTGGCATGGATCCATCACAGAATCCAGACCAGCCTTTACCAGCACACCATCCTCAAGTCACATTTGCCTACACTAAACACTTGTGGATGTCAGATCGGAGGGAGGAAGCCTACAGGTATGTTCTAATTCTCTTGTCTCTATTCTGTATGGAAAAGATAGTGGCAATGATATCTCATGCTGTCATTTTTTATTTATAGTAACAGCATTATGAAAGTACCATATTTTAATGTTTAAATGTAATACATCTAGACTGGCTGAGGAACCCATCTAGCCTTCTGTACAATTAGTAGCAGGCTCTTTTCGTGGGTTAAAATGACTGAAGTGTGAGGGTTACCACTGACTTTCATTTAATGCTGTAATTAAAAAGGCTTTGTTACCTATAGATAACAGCACACGGGTACAACGACTAGGCACCTCCAAGAGAGAGTGAAACTTGTACATTATGTTGCAGCCAGCTGCACAGATTTGTTCAGTCCTCTCTCCACCCTCAGACCCTCCAACTGATGGGTCAGGATGAAGATAAACAACAAGAACTTCGCTGCAGACTTCTTGCAAGGTAATACACAACACTGTGAGAAGATACGAGAATGTAGTGACCTAAACATAATACAACAGTATTCTAAGGATCTGAAAAAACTAGTAAGAGACCACATCAGGCTCTTGGTTATATTTTGTAAGATGATGCAACTGAGATAAAGATGTTTATTGTTAACTTAGTATTGTAGAAAAATCATACTATGTCCACAATTTTAGTCATTAAATTTTGAGGAACCAGTTGTCATCAATTTATTACAGCTAATTCATGTACCAACTTGACAAATATAAGCCTTATATCATATCATCGGGTGCTTTTTGTCTTAAAACAAGCATATTTTCGTAAGAACAAGATGTGTTTAGGCTCCTAGCAATGGCAAAGTTTGAAAATTCATGTGGATCTGGCTTGGAAATGATTGCAAGATCAGTTTGAGCTTCAGATGAAGTGGTGGTTACAGTGGACCAAAGCAAGCCAGACCATTTCACTCACAGCTTTGGTTTAGGCCTCAGAGTACCAAATTTTGTGACATTTGTTTTTTATTCTAGAGATGAAACATGCAGTCAGATGGACATGATATCTCACATTTAATGTGTGCAGAGAGCACATAAAAAGTAATAAAATTATTCTTTTATGTTGTATTCTGGTTCTTATTTTTTATACCCTGTTCTAATACATACTATTTCAGTTTCTTATTAGTTTAATTTGTTTTTTTAACAAGAATGTTACAGTTTCTTTAGTTTAGAATCCCCATGCAGGTTTCTCTTGAAACCATTAGCCATTGTTGTCAGTCCATGGTCTTCAGAGTGTTAATGTTCTTCATTTATGGTTTTAGTTCTATTGTTTCAGTCTTGATATTTCGCAATTAATGTTTTCCTCAGTTTGGTATTTAGATCTGTTGTTTACTAAGGAAACATTAAATGGAAACGGGCAGGGAACACCAAGAATGCTTGTGTGAGTGCATCCTCATCTGTCACAAAGAATCCGTTTAGGTTAGGAAGGTTCATGAGTGGATGGCTTGAGCCCAAGAGATAGCAAAATGCTGGATTAGAATAGATTTTCTGTATCCATTGTTATATTTATAGGTGTTACCTGAAGTTGGGCCAATGGCAGGAGAGCCTACATGGTATTAATGAACACACAATTCCTGCTGTCCTGCAGTACTATGCTACAGCAACTGACCATGATGCAACATGGTACAAGGCCTGGCATGCATGGGCATACATGAACTTTGAAACAGTTCTCTTCTACAAGCAACAGCAGCAGCAGCAACAGCAGACAAATGAAGTAGGAGGAACGGCTAACAGAGCCCAAGTTGATCCCAGTGCAGCCTCTCGTGCCGGACTTGTAAGTGCTTAAGAATGTTTTTTACAGATGTAAAAAGAAAGTAAAGCTATCCCTGTAACAGGCTGTGGAGGTCCATAGGGTTGTGAGATGTCAAGGTTCCCGCATTTTCTAGACAATCAGCTCATAGATTGCAGTAAGGTTTTCAGCCTTACATGCAGGCCGCCCTTTACCCCCACGAACATTCCAATAATATTCCTGGTACTCACTTCTGGAAGCATTAGTAAATTGAAAAAATTCCAATGACCTCATCAGGAGTTGATCCTGCAACCTTCCAGCTTGTAGCATAGTGCCTCAACTAACTACACTACTTTGTGCCCCCCTTCTTTACAGATGTACATAACATAACCTCATGGACATTCTATACCCATGTGGTGTAGCTTTAACCTTTTAAATTCTTATAATAGACTTAAATGAAATTTGGTACAAGCATAATTTGTATCATATTCATAAATCATAATTGCCATTTTATATCTGGGGTCGATAATAAATTGGAAGCCATGTCCTATTAAGTATGTGCTAAATCAGTGACTATTTGAAGAGAAGTTGTTTTATTATATGAGACAAATATATTTCATATATTGCATCATATGAATAATGCTGTTTAATTTTGTGAACTTTACAGTATAATGTTATTCTGGAGGCATTTGAATCAAATCCCAGCCAGGAAACACAATAATTAGTGTTTTCCCAGGGGGGGGGTCATTTACCTTTGGTGGACAAATGTTTTATATATATATATACACAGAGGGTTCCAAAAAAATGTACTCACCCTTTGATAGTCAATATCTTTGGAACAAAATGACATGTAGTTACAATTCTTGCACAGAGAGAGTGAGAGAGAGAGTCATTGTATGTGTTCAAAGTGACCACCATCAGCAGCTAAACAGCATCGATGCCACTGAACTGCTGAGTGAACTACGGCTGTCAGTGTGTCCGGTGTGATGGCTGCACACAGCACTTTGATGGTTTCTTGTAGCGCGTTCAGTGTAGCTGGCTTTTGTCGATAAACTTCATCCTTCAACGTTCCCCATAGGTAGAAGTCAAGAGATATTAGGTCTGGAGACCATGGTGGGTACTCAGTAGCACCTCTTTGACCTATCCATCGTCCAGGTAGAGTGTCATCCAAGTACGCCCTGACTTCTCGATGGTAGTTAGGTGGAGCACCATCTTGTTGTAGGTAAAATCTCTCATCTCCAAACAGCTCTCAAATGGTAGGGAAAATCGATGTGTGAAGCATATCGAGATACACCACAGCATTGGAAGCTGGACTTATTACTATCCATGGTCGCCCAGATCTTTGCTTATGCACATCATGAACAGTACCGTTGGCTTCAAATTTATCCCGAATATGGGCAGTTGTTCAACGTGTTGGTGGCTGAGTTCCAAACTCATTCTGCCATTGTCGTTGTACCTCTTTAATTTTGTTTTGAGAACTGAGGAGTAAATATTCATCTGTGCTGTTAGTGCTTCAAAAGCTTTCAAGGAAGTGTGACCTATTCAAGGACTGGTTTTCAGTAGCAAATTATCAGTTAGGAAGTCAGTGTTGGATTGTCATATATTTCTTTATCAGTTAAAAAGTCAGTGTCAGACTCATATATTTCTTTATATATCATTTTGATTTTGTGTCTTGGAAGACGTATAAACCTACTGAGCCAGTATTACTTTGTGAGTAAAAGGCATCTTTGCCACTGTGACTTTCGGTATCAGTGTCGGACTGGCACTCTTTTCGACTAGTATTATAATTGCTTTGCATCACTATTTTGCAAGTATTACTAACAGGTGAGAGTGTCGCTTTGTCAATCAACATAATTTATTCGACTTTGCTGGAAACCCACCTCCCCCAAGATGATTCTTCAATCGCACAAGGCAAACATCACGGTCAGTGGCGTTTCTTGGCGGAGGCCAAGGTTATCTGGGGCCCAGCTGAGTCGACTGGAGGTGAAGCATTCACAACACTGGCCAAACAAAGGGAAACAAAGACGTTGTGTGTTTCACTAAATAGGAAAAGCAGGAGCACCATTTTCTATTGGAAAAAGTGTGATGTTGTGCTGTGTGTTGCAGGCTGCTTCGCGAAGTGGCACGGACATCAGAGTGTGAGGTATTGTAGACTGTGAAGTGACGCAGTTCAAACTCTTGTACAATCTGAACAAAATATTCTTGTATATAGTGTGATTACAATATAGTGTATTTACATTATCACCAAGTTGCAGTGCATGGGGAAACCCACCCCCTCCAATAATAATAATAAAATAAAATACATTATCACCAAGTCTCAAGGGTGTAAAAAAACTACAGGTCACTCCTCTGGAATTTCATAACATAATAAAGATTATATTTTGCATTTCATGACAAAATAATCACAGTTAATTTTCGTTTGTAAAAATTGCTCTTTTGTGTATATGTAGAAAATTTTATTGTCTTTCAGGTTGTTTTAGTTCGTGTTTTATGTTGCATAGAACGGAAACTATGTAGTTTTTTCTGAAAGTTTGCAATGTTAAAGAATTAGGGTGATTTGAATCCTGGCAATTTAAAAGTCTGTACATTAAAGGTGCCAGCAGGTAAATGAGAAGGCAATACTTAACATAGCCCCATTGTCCCATATTTGTACCCACTTTTTGTTATCATGTTATTTCTTGATATTACTTCAGTAGACAATACAGAATTGAGTAAAGCCTTCTCTGTAGTCATCTGCAGTTTTAAAAATCTATAACATTTTGAAATCTCAAGCGTAATTTGAAAAATGAAGGTCAAATAAAAAGCTTAAACTGCAAGTATTAACAGGTTATGAAGAGTAATATTATCTGGATTGTAATGATGTGTAATTTGGTACAAGTGCATTGACATTTCAGAGGAACATGTCTTCATCAAAGAGTAAGCCAAGCAAGTAACCAGCAGTAAGCAGTGGGCTCTGTTTTCTACCTGTTTATTGCTGGTTTCTTGTTTGACTTACTCTTCAACCCTGAAGATGGAGGTGACACATTCATCTGAAATGTCATATTGGACTTTTACTGAGCTACATGGCAATACAACCCAGAACAATGTCCCTTCATAGTCACTGCAATATTAACTGGTTAGCTTTCTTGATAAATACAGCAAATACTACTTTTGTTTTGTAGCCAAGCTCTTTGTATATCTCCCAGTTCACGGTGCCAGCAGTGGAGGGGTTCTTCCGTTCCATTGCCTTGTCACATGGTAGCTCACTGCAAGATACACTTCGACTGCTGACACTTTGGTTTGACTATGGTCAATGGCCAGAAGTGTATGATGCCATTGTAGAAGGGATTCGCACAATTGAAATTGATACATGGCTTCAGGTAAGTTTTGTATGTACTTTTGTCATGGACCAATATCAGGTGCACCTTTTCTGTTCCCACTGTGTGGGAAAGCAAGGTAAGACTTTCAGCAAGTAATGTGGGCCATGCTTGGCAATGATGTTTCAGCCATCATAAGTTTTTGATTATACATGGCTGTTTATTTTCACTCATCTTTCGCTGATGGCAGGGTGTAGCTTTTTCATATCATTTACCTAGATTTTGGTAGTTGTTTACTAATGTATGTTTCTATGTCTTTTTATCCTTTGATATAAAAGAAAATGTTTGATCAAAAAGTCAAAGCACAGACTTAAGTGCCCACTCCACACACAGTTGGGAGCCATTTATATGTCCGCACAAGGGGTTCATGTATTGTATATGTTGATATAGGTGATCCCTCAGCTGATAGCCCGTATTGACACTCCACGTGCTCTGGTGGGAAGGCTCATTCATCACCTTCTGATAGACATTGGTAAACATCATCCCCAAGCCCTGGTTTATCCCTTGACAGTTGCCAGCAAATCTGCCAGTATGGCGAGACGCAATGCAGCCAACAAGATCCTCAAGAACATGTGTGAACACAGTCCTGTTCTGGTCCAGCAGGCAGTTATGGTAACATAACCATTTTTTTAACAAGTTTGTATGTATCTGGGATTTGTACCAGGTCAGCATGGGCATTCCCTAGAATTTATATATATTATATTTTAAAACATTCATTTATCAGTTTTGATGTTTCACTCTTCCTCTGCATTTGAAGAGAGTGTGTTCTTGCGTTCAGATTTCACATGTAGATTTTGGACCAAGTACATGGATTTAAGTTAAAAGTTAACTTCATATTTATATATGATAACATATTTATTCTAATTACATTTGCAGGTGAGTGATGAGCTGATCCGAGTAGCAATTCTCTGGCATGAATTATGGCATGAGGGGTTGGAAGAAGCAAGCAGGCTCTATTTTGGAGAACGTAATGTGAAGGGGATGTTCGACACATTGGAACCTCTTCATGCCATGTTGGAGAGAGGGCCCCAGACTCTGAAGGAAACATCTTTCAATCAGGTAAAAGAAATGTTTATGCTGCTCTTATGACTGTAAGATAATATTGATTCTTAATTAGCATGTTTTTGATGAAATAATGCATAATCTCACCGAACCTCATTAGGCAGTAATGTTGACTCATCTTTTATACTGAACATTCACCAAAAAATATATGTCCTTATGCTCAAATTTGTAAAAGAAACGCTAAGCAACAGATTATCTTGTTAACTGATGTGCCCATGCAGAAAAATCAGCAGTGAAATTTAAGCAGAAATGTTTGTTGTTCATGGTGGTTGCTTATGTTTACATCTTTAGGTACCGTTTTTTTAAGGTTGCATACTCACTGTTGCCATGGTCCCATTGCTTTTCTTATGGAAGAAAGAACAGAGGAGGATATTGAATAAACTCAAATTCATGTATGTAACATCAGAAGTAATGATTTTCCTGGTACTGTCTCCTCAGGAGGAACTTTTTTTTTATTTACCATTTCTTTCTACAGTGCTAAACTCGTGTTTATGTTTTTAGACTGGAAATTGACATCTTTTTGGATTGTGTTTCATTTCTAAACACCAAATGCTGGTCAGGACTGCATATCATGTGCATGAAGTCAGACTTATATCTGTGGTGTTGGTGGCAAGAGCTGTGTACTATTTTGGAATAAATTTGGAAGTACTGGATTGTTAAAAAAAATAACCATTTATATAACGGCTATATAGATGTAAATACATATATATGAACTGTGATAATTAGTGTTTCAGACTGATTTTGTTTGATAATTTCATAATAAAACATGGTTGAGATACTGAATTTTAAAGAAACATATAGAACTTTTGACCTTAATTTGCCGCAGTAACAAGTTTAAATCATGCTGTGGGAGAGATAACAGCCCAGCGTACAAGGAATGCAAAGGAACACTGGATACAACTAAGCAAGCAGCACATCCAATGGGACATGAACACAGCTGCAATATGTAAGATAGGAAGACAGTCATCCTATAAAATCATCCTACAACATCAGAATTCAGAAAAGTTAATAATAACGACATGCCGTAATGAATACTATTTGACCAGTTGAACACTGCAGTAGACTCCTTTAAAAAATGTTTTGCGTGAAGATGGCACTATGTGACTGAAACATGTAGCATAAACACCAAATGTACATATATTTTAATAATTTTAATGACATTTTAAACATTTAACAAACTTTTTTTTTATTTAAGTGTGAATGAATGTTGTTAAATTAATATTGTTGCATTATAGACAGGAAACAAGACTACAAGTTATAGCCCAGAATATATGCAAGTAACTGATTAACCCCTACTGGCCATGTGGTGAACGTTTGTAACGGCGCGTGCATGTGGTTCAGCTTACTGAACACCTCAGTTTTCTTTTAGTACAAATACTATTATATTTATGTTAGAAACCGGCTGCCAGCCTTGTAGTACTGAGAGTTCTAAAAGTCCCTGTTCCCAGACGGTAAAGGCTAAGAGTAATAATGCATTCATAGTTCAGAATATGCAATCCCTGCACATTAAAAGTGGGATAGTACATAGAGATAAAACAAAAGGATACATTCACTTAGAACATCAATTCTGTATAGGCTTATGGACGTGACCTGATGGAGGCACAGGAATGGTGCCACCGGTACAAAGTATCTGGTAATGTGCGAGATCTTAACCAAGCATGGGATCTGTACTACCACGTATTTCGACGCATCTCGCGCCAACTGCCACAGCTGACCAGCCTAGAGCTCCAGTATGTCAGTCCAAAACTGCTGATGTGCCGAGACCTTGAGCTTGCAGTACCTGGCAGCTATATTCCAGGACAGCCTGTGGTTAGAATTGCACAGATTCAGAGCTCATTGCAGGTCATCACATCAAAACAACGGCCACGAAAACTCTGCATCAAGGGTAAAGTTAATCAACTCATTCACTCTGTGTGGCAAAATGTTGCTTGAAAATTTGATAGCTGTTGCAGTTGGTCAAGAAATTCAGTACTTGTATGGAATTTGAATGTTCATTATTGTGCTCACAAAATCCCACCATTGGGCCAGGTTCCATACCAGTTACGTACAATCCACACCTTCACTTGTAATAATTCTGTTACTTCTGCTGTGTAAAGCCATGCTCCTTACATTTTTCAAGTCATATGTATTGAAATGATATGCTCGTTATTTTCTTTCTAGGCTTTTAAATAAATAAATATATCTGTATATACAGTAATAGAAATTGTAACTTGTACTAAATCAGTGCTTTAATATTACTGTTGAAGAAGAGAAATACAAAATCTAAGGTTCTTACAGTAGTGACAGTGAAGATTGCATGCAGACTTCTCGGTTGTGTCTTCAGGTAGGCAGACTACTTGGCATCACATCCTAGAAGTTAGCAATCTGACTGCCATTGGTTTTGTACATGTAAGTGCAAAGTTTGTCTCTTAATAATGTGATAGTTTTCATATTGACACTGCTTCAAGCCGTTTGTATGTTTTGTAGTGAACCCTATATATATTAACTCCTTCCACACAACATACTAACTAGATCACCTCATGGTACTTGTATTAACACAGCCACAGCCAAAGATATCAGCTCATTGATGATCAGTTAGTTTAGCATCTTTGACGGTATATGACATCAAGTGTGACATACTGATGTTCAGAGCAAAGAATGGGCTTCTAAAAGAAAAATCTGATCCTTTAACAACTACAATGACGTGCATGAATACATTAAAATATTTATAAATTATCTCAATTAGTCTGTTTACAAATATGGTTTAAAAAGACTTTGTTAAAATTTAGAACCAATTTGGTTCATGTCCTTTATACTGCCTCTCTTTAAAGGAAGTTGAGTGTCTACCACCTCATGGTTCCATTCTTTGATAAATAGGACTCTGCAAATATATTGTAACGTCTTTGGAGTAGATACTTCCTTGGTAACGCAATAACAGTGGGCTGTTGCGTAGGAATTGCAGAATCAATGAAGCAGCGTTTCCCCAGTGACAGACAACAGAAGGTTCCCAGAGTACCAATGGCCGTGGATATATAACAAGGTAATGTATTCGCCGAGACAGTCTTGGGATAGCCGTCGCCAAAGACAGATGAGATTCAGCCACGGCCAAGGACAGTATAAGCATTGGAGTACTGGGCCAAAAGCCAAGTGATAATAATTGTATGGTGTATAAGTGTGTGTGTCCAATAAAGATTAGCTAAATCCGAGACCCACGTAAAATTATTTGTTGCGTGACAACTGGTGTTAGAAGCGGGATCAGTTCGGATTAATTGGATCAAATTTAAAGGATTGGACTTATACACGCGATTAAGAAGAATTATTGGTCTAACACTGCACCAGCTAAAATGGAGTCACACCAGATAATGGAACTCCTGCTGGCTATGTGAGAAGAAGCGAGAAGCAACCAGGCAAAGGCAGACGCCAGACATGAACAAATGATGGCCGATTGGAAAGCCTGGCAGGAAAAGACAAAAGCCAACCATGAAAAAATGGAAGACAGATGAGATCCAGCCATGGCCAAGGATAGTCGAGACATCGCATTGGGGTATTGGGCCAAAAGCCAAGTGATGCTACAAGTGGTAATAATTGTGTGGTGTATAAGTGTGAGTGTCCAATAAAGATGCGCTAAGTCCGAGACCCACGTGACAATATTATGGGTATAAGGTAGTATTTCCATAATCCCGATTTTATTTAAATGTGAGCTTTTGTTATTTTATCCTACCTTTAGTGTCGTCTCATTGTTTGTCAAGGATGAAAGATTAAAAAGGAGAGAAAGAATAAAACATTTTGTCAGTCACACTGGACAGATTTGATAACTTTTATAATATTGCTAGTGTGACGGATCAGGATGAACCAAATAAAAAAAAAAGTAACGTGTAGAATTTTTAGCAGGTAGTTCTGTGGTGGGGCTTGCAGTCAAAGAGTCCATTATTGCAAGTCCACTAAAATTATACTGTGTGTTGATAATTGAGTGCAGTGCAGCAAAAGACTCTGCAACCGTTGTTTTCAGTGGATAACTAACTGAGTTCATGGAGCTGAGCCCTTCTTGAGAAGCTGCCAGTTGTGCAGCTATTCAAGAACTTCCCAAAATTTATCCTTGTTTTTGACCATTTTGGATAGGCAACTTAGCAGACAAATGCTTACTTATATGCACTTTACTATAGGTTTCATTTAAACACCTTTTAATCAGCCTAACTGGTTTCATGGGTACCCCAAATGCTATGAGAATATTGTACAATACTTCCCTCTTAACTGAATCATAGGCTTTCCTGAAGTCTACAAATGGTTGTAATCTCATTTTCCTCCAGTATCTGACAAATGCAAAAGATCCGATCAATAGTTGATCTGTTACATTAAAACCCACCCTGATGATCCCCAATAATTTGATTTATGTATGGACCTAACCTTGAGAGAAGGATATTGGATAATTTTTTTTTTATGAAATTATCCCATGATAATTACTACAGTCAATTTTATCGCCCTCCTTGTAAATTGGTACAATAATAGACTCATTCCACTGATCAGTTAACTTTTTCTTATTCCAAATAGAATTAATAAGTTTATGGATCTCAGACCTTAATGTTTCACCACTTGCTTGAATCAATTTTGCCAGAATTTGATCACCACCTGGCGATATCTTTTGAACTATGTATATTCAGTGACTGAGAGAAGTGGTTCTTCCACCTGTTCAGAGCGTTGTGGGAATCTGCAATTAGATCACCATTCTCATACTTCACCAAGTTACTTCTAGGTTGGTAACCCCTCTTAAATTAATTTATTCCACTATACAGGTTCCTAATGTTCCTGTTTTTACTGTTCATTGCAAGCTCATTAATTTTGTATTTCAGATATTCCCTCTTATTCTTCCTGAAATGCCTGCTGGCTTCACATCTTATATGGTTCAGATTATCTCAGTTTATTTTGCTTGGATCCTGTGACCACTGCAGTTTAGCTTGTTTCCTTTAATCTAATAATTCTGGTGATACTTTATTGAACCATGGCTTATGCTTCTTCATTTCATAATAACCTATATTTTCTTCATCTGAAATTTTGATATTTCTCTAATAGTTTCCCAAGCTATATTAATATCCACCTCAGCATCTAAATTTTCCAAAGCTGCGAACCTATTTGAGAATTCAGCATGATACTGCTCTTTACCGTCTACCTTGTTTAATTTCTTGAGATTGAACCTCTCCATATGGAATCTGTGTCTTGTCTGTTTACTCACTACGAGTCTCTCCCTAACCTTTGCCACCACCAGACGGTGGTCAGGATCACAGTCTGCTATCCCGAATGATTGCACATCAGGTACACTTGAATGTTATCTCCTGTCTCTCAAAATATTGTCACGTGTTGGGTATGTCACGCGACAAATAACTTCACGTGGGTCTCGGATTCAGCGAATCTTTATTGGACACTCACACTTACACGCTTTACAACTATTAGGACTTGCAGTATTACAATTACTGCTTACACAATATCTCTGCCAATACTTCTATAGCTCTTTATATCTAGATTCTGACTATCTTCAGCGGCAGCTTCCTGAAGACTGAGTTCTCTATCTCTTGGCGTCTGCCCCGAGACTGTCTGGCGAATCCTACGCAACGAGCCACTGTTATTGCATTGTCTCTGTGGGAACGCTCCGTGTATTCATTGTAACAGTGGAGATTCGACGCTCTTAACGCAACGGCTCACTGTTGTTGCATTACTATGGAAGTGTCTTTTCCAAACACGTTACAGTATGGTAAATTTTATTCTGAGTCTTTCCATCAGATGTCCAACTAACATTTATGAATGTTACGATGTGGGAATGTTGTACTTTTGTCAGATTTTTGGATTTGGCAAAGTTTACTACACTAACACCCTTATCATTAATAATTTCATGTAAACTCTCATTCCAAGTTGTTGGATTGAAAATGTCTTCCCTATCTACTTTGTAATTGAAATATAAGAGAATTTTAATATGGTATTTGGGGAATTATTGAATACACGTTCTAGTTCATCGTAGCTGTCCTTCATATCATCGTGTACTGTTTTGAATGGATACGGATAATAAAGAAAATTATTGTTTTATAATTATGATATGTATGAGTTGTCATAGTTTTGCACTTTTACCATCAGGGAGCAATGGTCGGGATTACATGTTCCTGCTGAAGGGTCATGAGGATTTACGGCAGGATGAGAGAGTGATGCAGCTCTTTGGTCTAGTCAATACACTTCTTCTTAATGACCCAGACACTTTCCGCAGAAACCTTACCATTCAGGTAAGCAATGCCCACATGCTTATCTTATACAGTACTATAATGTACTTTTTCACTTCACCAATCATTTCTCATTTTATTCTTTTGCATCAGTCGTTTTTCCAGTGTTTTTAGCCCTTAGGCATGTGTTGTGGTAGAATTCAGACATGGTGCCAAGTGGCTCTTAGTTTTGCAGCAGAATGGATTGTTGAATAGTGAGAATTAACCTTTTCATTGAGTATGACAGAACATTCTGTCACGATCCAGTGATAAAATAATGGGTATGATGTACAGCTACATACCCTGATTTCAGTCATGTAAAGGTAGATCCTGGGTATCATGATCTCAAGAGCTGAAACTATTAGCATTGTAACAGGTGGAATTTTGCTGTTGAGATGGCAGCACTGTGCCAGACACACAGCATAGTACCTGCTGTCTAGCCAGTCTCTTTCTCCACAGCAGGCACTCAGGCTGTAGGTTGAGATTGCTTTCAGTTTATGTTTTTTTGGACTTTAACAGATCAAACTTTTAGCAGTTATTGTACATACAATATAATATTAGTTTAAAATAGAATCATAATAAATACATTTTAAATGCTGAAGACTGTAAAATATTTTAAGTTACATGACTGAAAAATAGTACCTGGGGCAGGTTACACCACAGTAGCCACAACTCTTTAGGCAAGTGGTTAAACCAGTCAGCATCAGTATGGGGAAGAATCCTAGCGCAATAGTGATAGTCACTGAACAGAGAAGTGAGATCTGGAAATGGAACATAAAAGGTGGAATCTTTGAGAGAGGAACTTGATGTGGAATATATTATGTTTATTCTGTAAAAAGCTTCCCATATTTTGTTCCTTACCCCACTTTAGAGATATGCTGTGATCCCACTGTCCACCAACAGTGGCTTGATTGGTTGGGTCCCTCACTGCGATACATTGCATACGCTTATCCGGGATTACCGTGAAAAGAAGAAAATCCTGCTCAACATTGAACACAGGATAATGCTGAGGGTAAGGAACATTGAAGTCTGTCACTGAGATTGTAGTGTTTTGCAAATTTTGTTTGCTTACAGACATTGTATTTATATACAGTAATAAATTCCTAGATATTATCCATCTTTGTAAGTTGGTTGAGACACTGTGCTACAAGTCAAAAAGTCGTGGGTTCAATTCCTGATGAGATCATTGGATTTTTCAATTGACCCCATCCTTCCAGCCACCCTATGGCGCTGGGGTTGACTCAGCCTCTAACAGAAATGAGTACCAGGAATATTCCTGGTGGTAAAGGGCAGCAAGCACGTAAGGCTGACAGCCTTAGTACCATCTGTGAGCCAATTGTCTGGAACATGTGGGATCCTCAATGTGTCTCAACTCTATGGGACCCCACGACCTGTTATTGGGATGGGTTTACCTTTTTTTTTTTTTTTCCTG